GAGAAATGTAAACAATCCCGTCATTCCCATGACGGATTGGTTGACTGGTTTGTTCGCATTTCGGTGATTGGTTAATGCCCGTGACGTCACTGAGATCAGTGACGTCACACGCGAACAACAAACTTCATCCGCAAAAATTAGCTTCTCATGGGTCAACCTTATACTAGTTCAACCACGGTTATACCAGTCAAGTGTCAAGCTTTAGGTCAGCGGGAGCTCCATGACTCGAGGACACATCGTGCACCAGACAAGTGTGGGAAAGCTGGAGGTCTGCGCGAGCTCCAGTTCTGAGAGTTTGTAGCAAAGGCTCTGGAATTAACGTAATTGCATAGCAATTTTGTTGAAAAACATGAGTGCGGGCTGGCCTTGCCGAGTGCACGCCTTGGTGCTTTGGTTTAATGCGGAGCTGCACGCATCCTTATAGTCGACCTACACCCAGAATCATAGTATACTGTGGTGTAAAAGACAATTTTTATGATATAAAAATCTATTGCCCCCATAAAATATTGTTGGGAAAATTTAATAAGCCAAATTCTGGAAGAACGACTGTAGAGCAGCAGTGCTAACTCTTCAAGAGCAGCATTGACTCAACTTTTAGCTCACGTTGCGACCAGTTCCACAGCTATTGTTGTGCAATTGTTTTCTGATCATCTTCTTTATTGTCAATTTTGGTATCAAGTTGTGCACAACGCTTGATTAATTACTATTTTTGGTTTGGGGTGCTTGCGTTCCTTACTTCTGATTGAGCGCTTTTGTACGAGCGTCATATTTAAATGATCGTTCGGTGTAAGATCAACAATTGACGTAAGTACTTACTTTGCGCAGTAAAATTCAAATACGTCTTACTTGATCATACTCGCTGTTATTAATGATTGGTTTGTGTCTAATATAAAACTCACTTTAAACTTGTTATCTCTAATCCTAATTATTGAATGCCAAAACTATCAATTCTTTAAACTGTAGCCATATTTCACATTGGAACTTTGTGCACTTTTATTTACGGTCTTGATGTACACATTTACCGGCGCGCCCTTGTTCTTGATTGAATAAGGTGAGCGTCATTCATAAGCATATATTAATTATTTAAATGTCAACTATTGAGTAATATTCGTGGTAGCCAAGTGATAACAGTTCAGAGTACCAGGATTGGAGTAGTGAACTTAGGTTTTGATTCCGACCTCCTGCACTAGTACTGCTCATATCTGCAAGGAGGCTGGGCAGTTGAGCAACGTAGAATTGAAGCAGTGAGTTGCGTGTTCGAGACCTAACAAGATTTGAGTGTCCTGCGATATGGTCAGAATCCGTGACAGGTGTAACTGCCTAATCAACGCTAACACCGTTATACTATACTATATACGTAGCTAAGTTCCGTCGCCAGCGTGGCAAAAAAAAAGACTTTTCTCTTTTTAAATTCACTCTAGATTCTTCGCATTTCACTTGGCCTCAGTCGCGCACGCATGGATTTTCTTTTTGAATAATATGCGTGAGAAGTTACAAAATCTGGGACCTGTAAACCTAAAGACCTCATTTAAGTACATCTGATTAATCCAAGTCAGCCTCCTTAAATTGTTCACCCTTTTTGACGTTTGATATGAAATAATTTTTAGAATAGGTGTTTCCCTGGAGCAAGGAAAATTCCTTACAATGGAACATAATATAGCAAAAGCGTGTTGAAGATTTTGTGCCAGGTTTCACAGAATTGGTTCTTGCCAAGCCAGGTTCTTGCTTATTGATGTCACGATGGGAACAGAATGTTTGGCGCGAAGAATCATAATGCGCGGTCACAGGTTTAGGTAAAACAAAGAACGAATTCAGGCTAACATTACCTACTGTTTGATGCATGGCCTTTATTTTCCTCCGATTTTTGCTTTCAAAAGAAATAGACGATAATAATATCTAATTGCATTGTACACGTTCATAAATTTTGTAATAGGGGTACTGTGTTCCATAATATTTAATCTGTTAAGCAGGATTAATAAACATAATTCACAATTTAAAATACCAAGATTGTGGCTACGTGTGACGGAACACAATTTTTGTGGATTTTTTTTTAGAACATTGTTCCGCTTCTGATTTTACTCGAGAGATTCAACTTATGTATGACTAAGTAATGCGTCGACAGATTTTTATTTCGCGACTGTAACAAGGAATCTCCTTTGCTAAGATATTATCTGGCGGTAGCGTTGCGCTGCTGTCGTCTGCTTAGCGCCAATCGTCGTCTGCTAACACTGACCACGTTTAGACTTATTTCTATGATATGTTAATTGTAAATTATTACTTGACCTATGATTTATTCACTTTAATGTGCAATTATTTTGTCAAACGACTTTGTTTTTATTGTGATAATCGTAATGATTTACTGTTGTGCGAGAATAAGTGCTGTCAATCTACGATACCATCTTTAAGGTGAAGGCGGCTCCGTAGCCATCTTTTGTAAGCAGGCTAGATATCTTAGAGGTAGATGTTCTAGAAGAAGTCGATTATAACTTGTAGTCATGTTGTCAAAAAGTTGAATTATTTATTATGTGATAGTACTTCTCATTGCATTTGATAACGCTTTTAGTCGATGTTCAGCTGTCTAGAATTGCTCGACTCGCGCGCTCGCGAGTTAGTTATCCTCGAGAGTTATTCTATCTTATATCAACTTTCACTTATCTTCATGTGACCAAAGGATTATATTATGATTCTATTTTATTGTAATATACTATATTAGATATTTTTTCATATTGACGATTTTATTAGCTTATTTCTTGTACATTTTAAACAGAGTGTTGAGGTGAGCTCATCTTAGTTGAGTTACCCCTCGTGGATTAACCCTGTGTTCTCAGTATAACTGGATATGGGTCCGAACATTTTGAATCAAATTAAGGTAGTCATATGTAAGCTTAAAAGATAAAAAGGAAATGTTGTCCTGTAGATGACTCTTAGAAAGATGTACTTTATTAGCCGACTGTGCTGCGTTGGTGGAGATCTCGGCTAGTTACAGACTGGTAACGCTCTGGTACGGCGTTTACCCGGGCCGAGCACCTCTCGTGTTGTGGGGGCTAATAACCTTCGCACTCGAATATATTTGTCAGCGCTCTGGTACAGTTGCGCTTCTGCTGTACAGATCGCGCCTCCCGTGTCGTGGGAATTAATACCTTTTCACGCTCGGGAGTAATCAGAACTTGCAGTGCATTGCGGTTCGTACCCCTGATCATTGCTTTGGTTGTCGGCATCGCGGTGCAGCTCGTACCTGTACTCTTGCTATTCGATTTTATGGTTCTCGACAGTTTATTAGGACGCTCAACGTTGTATCCCTGAAGTTGAGATCATGTCTCCCGGAGATTTTGGAGTTATAATAATAGTAATATAGCGGTTTCAGCATTTATTAGGCCGTAGGCCTGTCGCTGATTCTTAACATTGCGGAACATTCACAGCATTTTGCGGTCTCGAACTCGCAACTCACTGCTACAATTCTGCTGTGCTTCACCGCCCGGCCTCCTTGCCGATTCTGACCAGAAACTGGCGCACAGAGCTGGGATCGAACCCGCGCTTCTCTGCTCCAATCCTGGTACTCTGAACTTTAAGCACTGGACCACCCCAGCGAATAATAAATTGTGTGCCTTGTACAGTGAAATTTGTGTATCGCCTTAAGATCACCAATATACTACAAATATTTACTCGTGTTCATTCCCCTCTCTCCGACGCAAGGGAATTTAGAGCCGGACCGAAGAGCGACTCTTTAGCACATGTGTTAAAGCCAATACGGAAGTCACCGTCAAGTCGGCACGCTACCCATGATTATTTCGACTTCGCGGCGGTGTTTCCGGTTACATACGAATGGGAGATTCCCGCTTGCCTTCGGCAGTCGCACATCACCTGACCAATTGTGGTCGAAGTACGCAAGCGCGCGTTCGATTCAATAGATTTGCTGGTATATAGTGCGGAGACAACGACACGTATTTACTCTACACTTCCATGACTGTGACGCGATATAGGACTCGACTTGATTTGCAGCTTCTGCGTTCAGCTCACCATCTATAGAGACCTCAGCCCGTTTCTAGGCCTGTAATAATATCAGTGAACGAGTATATCATATCATTACTACATCAAGTATAATATCTTTATACTGTATATATATAATGGCGAGAGGACGAGTATAATATTACTTTTGGGGTGTATTAGTTGCGCTCGCTTGGGCATTACCAGCAACTGGGTCACTAATGGTATGGGTGCCTTCCCCGCGGCCATAAGGACCCGCCGGTATAGGCGCAGCCATTAGAATCTGGTAGCATTGATGACTCTCCTTGCAGCCATATGGGCACTGTGTCATAAATGCCTCCCTTTCGAGTCGCGAGGACAACGGCATAGATGTCTCCTCCCCGTAGCCATATGGGCACAGCGGTATAAATGCCTCCCCCTGCTTTCCACACGTAAAGACACATCGCTTTAGTCATGCATCACACCCTGGCCTTCGGTTGGTCAGAGAGGCGGAGCTGCGCGCTATCTGTAACACCTCATTGAAGATGGCATCATGGCAGCCTCCGCTCATTGCGGTTCCCGCCACCGTGCGGTGAGGGTGTGGGACTCGCTGCTAGGTTGATGTCGCTTCTGCATTCCCGCGAAACTTGATCTTTATGTTTAGATCAGATTTTTTACCATTATGTTCAATTATAAATTTATTTCTTGTGTTTTGGAAATATTGCACTTGAATTGTTATATGTTTAGACTGGATTGTTGATTTCATGATGAAGTGCTATTTTCTTCCAGTAAGTCTTAAGTATTTAAAGTCTAAATGGCTAAGAGCGTAGGAAAAAGGTACACTATACAACAATACTGACATAGGAATCCTGTAACACTTCCATAGGTTAAACTAATAGAAGTTAAGGCAATCAGTCTCTGGATTCCGTTATAAATCTCGACAGCATCAGCTGTTGTTGCCTCATCTCGTCGCTCTATAGTTATATCTCGCTCAAAGTCCCTTTGCAAAAAATAAATTTGAGTGTCCTTTTATCGTGTAAGGTCTTACGGAGATGCACCAAAAATAGTTCTGGTGTTGTTCGAATGAGTAAAAACAATTTATCAGGAATATTCATAGCAACAAATCGATGTCATCACAGGACGATCTCAAGGTGAGGGTGCAATATAACGAACCTACAATCTGCATGCAACTGTTCAAAGTTTGAAGGAATAATAAATAATTCGTAATTAATGACGGCAAAAATTTATTTGCAGCAATCACTTTGTACGCCTGATCTCCCTGAAAACTGAATTATGCATGATCTGTGATTTCAGCACTGCTCTTAGATACATATTGTGAATTTTTTTTCAAAAAAATTTGCTTGCTAACTCTTTTTTTTTCTCCCGAAATCAGGTTTCAGCTAAAAATCTGACTCCACACACTCTTTCTGGTAGTCATTCTTCACTTTTTCTCTCCATCTCTGGCAATCATTCTTTGCTTTCATTTAATATACTCGGCAACAATTCTTCTTTCGCCATCCGTATATATGGAAATTGGTATTCTCCTGTAACTCTTCCCTAATTTTGCGATGGTTCCTCCTTTCCTACATCAGCGTTTGAGAAAACGTTCTGCCTGAACCGATCATCACGAGAACACTTTAAGCCAGAACCTAGGGAAAGATCACTAGAAGAAATTATCACTGAACCGATCATCACGAGGATACTTTAAGCCTGAACCTAGGGAAAGATCACTAGAAGAAATTATCGCTGAACCGATCATCACGAGGATACTTTAAGCCTGAACCTAGGGAAAGATCACTAGAAGAAATTATCGCTGAACCGATCATCACGAGGATACTTTAAGCCTGAACCTAGGGAAAGATCACTAGAAGAAATTATAGCTGAACNGTATAAAATACCAGTCAGCATCTGCAAATCATTGGTCGAGACGTATAGAAATAGGCTGATATCTGTTGAGCTGAATAAAGGGTATTCAACCAAGTATTAAATTAAAATAATGCGGATTTATTGTTTTGTACGAATACTTTTTTCACCCGAAAAGTGAACATGTTGCATTGTTTTTTGTTGCATTGAGATTTAATTTCTTTTGATAGTATTTTTGAATACTATGCGTCTCTATACATAATTTAAATCACTTTTATTGTTAAGTTTGTGTACTTACATACATTAAAATACGATTTTTCAAGTGTACGAATATTTATTTCCCCCCACTGTACGTTTCGTTCGTGTAAAGATGGAGTGAACATAACATAGTGATCTCGGCGCTGAAGCGTAGGTCTGATGTGGCCTGTCACCGATTCTTTTCCTTTTCGTGCCTTGTTCACAGAAGATCTAAAATCGTGTCATTTGACCGGATCTTTTCATAACTGAAGATAGTTTGAAGTAGCTCACGTGAAGTGCTCACGGTTGTGCTATGTTTGCATGGAACGCGTGGAGACGTGGCAGCGGTGCCGCGTGTGCGGGGAGGCCGCCGCGGGCTTCCACTTCGGTGCCTTCACCTGCGAGGGCTGCAAGGTGGGGAACGTCTGTCGACTACGGTATCCTACTTCGTTTACTATCCTACTTGTACTTCCAAAATGTATCAATATGGATTACAATTTTGTTTGATGAAATAGATTAGATCTTAAATTTTCAATCAAATGTATTTCATCAAACAAAATTGTAACCCATATAGTTACATTTTGGTTTAGTGAAGGATACTCAGGTTGACTCTAGATGAGTTAAAAGTGTGGGTGTCAATACCTGATCTCAGATGGTATATCTCCAATCGGAATATTTTTGGATGGAATTATGAACATTTAACGGCACCCTGTGAGAAGAGTATTAACAGATATCTGCCTCAAAGAGATTCTGTTTGTTTGTAAATTATACATCAGCTCAGGAAGAGGCACCGAGAACCAACTGACAGAGTCTCTAATAAGTTGACAACTTTAAAGAACTTATCTGAAAGTTATTTGATTACTCGGCCACTCAGATGTGGGGTTAAGTTGAGTACCTAGGCTTAATACCTTGGATTTCCGTCTATGTAAGACAAAATGCGTCTCTGACAGTCAATTCGAGGATTTCATTCTTATTACATTAATTCTTCGCATGAAATAGATCAAATTTTTAATTAATGATGGTACAAATGGGATATTCTCCGTAGAATTAATCCTCTCGTAGCGGTTCAAACTAGAGTTTTCAACGGCCTGATGTAGGCCGACCACTTGCCTGACTAAGAGATAAAAATAGAAGTTCATGTCACGCGCGCGGTGCGTTTCTCTTCAGTCGTTCTTCGGCCGGACGCACGTGAACGGCGCGGCGTCGCTGGGCGAGTGTCGCAACGGCGGCCGCTGCGTCGTGACGCGCAAGACGCGCACGGCCTGCAAGACCTGCCGTCTTCGTCGGTGCCTGCAGGCGGGCATGTCGCGCAGCAGCAGCCGATACGGCAGGAGGTGACGTGCTGGGGCGTGGGTTTTGACGGGACTATTTTACAGGATTGGTAAAAATCAGGCTTATGTTTGGCTAATGGGTAGTGATCCAATACAATGACGAGCCTAAAATGGTAAGCTTAAATACGGTAGGGGCATATTAATTAGTGGGAAAACTTCTAATGATATACCAACTATTATAATATCACAATAAAATCGTACTATGTATATCCACTGATTGCAAGATTTACTTTGGCTGAGGCAACTGAATTCGCGTCCGGGCCTAAAGTAGTGAATTTTGGTCGATGTCTTTGAAAACAATTTGTGTTTATATTATGTGAGCTACTGCGCTTTTATCAACTAAATATAAACACTGAAAATAACATGCCTCAATTCAGCCGCAAAGGCGCTAAGAGGCTATCTAGGATTGTCAGTCTTAAAGATGAATTCAGTCGGATGGAAATAATCGACTTGCCGCATTAATCGCCTCTATCTCTCTAAGCGTTGCGCTAGAAACCGTTATATTGAATAAAAATTGCCTGTTACGGGTCATGAATAACTTCTGACTTGAATTGTTGTCCATCGTAGGATGATTTAATCATGTTCGAATCAATTCGTATATGATTTGAGTCATAGGGACATCAATGCGTTTCAAAATATTTACTAGTTTTAGTAATAAAATTTTGAAATGAATGTAATGCACTAGTATTTCTAATTCTACAGTTCTAATGTATTTAAATTTAAGAGCGGGTATTAAATAAGGTTCCTTAACAGTTTTTTCACCAGCTCCAGACTAGATTTCTAGTCGACAATAAATTTTCAAAACATTCACAACAGATCGAACTGGTTCAAGATCCACTACCTACAACAAGGACAAGAAAAAGACCCCCGCGTGCAGGAGGTCGACCACAAAAGACACGATGAAGCTTCTCGGGTCCTCGCTACGAGGTCTGACGCGGGCATGAGAACAGCGAGTGATGAAACAGGGCAGACTTGTGTTAAAACTTCCATGACTACAGAACATAAGAACGAGCAATCGCATGTAGTAGGAACAGCGTTGCACGAAGAAGAGAGTACAGGATTATGCAGCAAGACAAAATATGATGAACGTGACTTTAATGGCGAGCCAGCAGGGAGAGAGCTGTCTGCTGTTACGACTGAAGCTTGCCCAGTTAGAGATCAAAATTTGATTCTGGAACTCGAGTCTTCGTTACCAGTTTATATTCCTATCGTACCAACAGATTGGCTTGCTCAAAGTTTAATTTTATATTATAACTCCATAATTTGTCAAGCATCGGCTATCAGTGGAAGAAATAGCTGTGATACTCGTAGGTTCCAGCTCGACAATGCGCGTGCTGATGCAAACAATTTCAGTCTCTCGAGTTCTCGCATAAATCTTGGCCACAGTCGCATACAAGATCCTGCTCCATGTTTAACCGACAATCCAAGTATTCTTTCCACAACAATTGGTCCTGATCTCATTCCTGTGATGGGGCGAGAATCATCTAATCCCGCAGCAGCGACAGCACTACCACTACCGGCACTTGTGGCACTGACGCCAACAAATGTCGAAGCAACAGCAATGACAAGGCAAGAGAGTGATGCCATTGTGTCTCCTTCCAACATAACATCTCCAGGAGTCAGCCCAAGATTTGATGACATCATAGACCATCTACCTACAAGAAACGATGAAATTTGTAGCAGAGAAATACAAGAACCTATCAATACACCAGCATCAGCCCATCAGCCAGTAGCGACAAATGATATGCCCATCGATCTCAGCGTGAGAGAGAAATAAAAGATATCGGCAATATCCGTCGAGAACGAGGTTTTTCGTGCCGCAACCAACCCTCTAGAATTTTAGGTAGCTGATATTCTGCTCACATCAGTTAGATGTTCAATATATTCAATTATTGGTCTAATATATTCAATTAGTCTGCATCAAAGCAAGTTAATTATATATATACTTTTACATTATCTAATTGTCAAATTATATATAATTGTGTCATATTACGTAATACTAGTAACGGAATATATGCTGATTAATATACGATATATAGCACAACAGCGCCTCACTTTCCATCGTATCTAAACGCACGATACTTCAATTGGTCAATTCATGTCGTCCCATGTCATGTAAAAATTATATTGGCCGTCAAGTACAACTAGCGCGACTTCTTCGACGGAGCTTTGCTCGAAATGAAGAGATCACGATAGGCGCTATGGGAAGGAATAAACTAGTAAGTAAAACTACATTTAATAGGTTCGACGAAATGAAGATTTAGCTGTCCTCGACGGCATTGAGTTGTGCAAGAAGCGTATCACACTTTTCGATGAGCACGTCGACGGCGGCATCCAAGATCTCGTAGCTCTTCATCACGCTCTGCGACTCCACGTTGACTGAAATTTAACATAAAATCAACTTAATTGGACCAACGAAGGCGCCTAAAGTAGGGAAAAACGAGACAAAAAACTAACACACTGAAATGTGCAGGGTTTGTGTAATTCGTCATAATTCAGTTTGTAGTGAAATAATGCACATAAAGTGCACATAATCGCTAAACAAAATTTTATGAATGATTAACGCCAAAGAAACGTTTCATTCATTCTTAAAAGGAAACACAAGCTCACTTACAGTAAAAAAAACGAGGATAAGCGACTCCTAACATGTAACTGGAACGGAACTACACAGGTCGCCAACGCTCCTAGTCAAGATTTAGTCAAGATTTAAAGTTCATACAATTTTTACCGTAATTACTTGACTAAAGGCGGAATAAAGACTTGCATTGTTGATCAGTAGGCAATGCAGACTCACATATGATGTGCTTGGCGTTCCTAGAGAGCTCGACAGCGTCCTTGATGTTGTCGTAGTTGTAGACGTTGCGGGAGCAGGAGTCGTATCGGGCGTCCCCCACACTGGCCTCCAGTTCACCTGCCCGGTCACCGTATAATTCAGCAATAGTTAGACGCTCGTGGCGCAGTGAGAGCCCAACAAGTGCGGGAAATGGAGAGTGCAGGAACGAATGTTGAGGTGAAACGGTGAAATTGTTGAAAATTTTCAAATCTAATAAAGAAATACCTAATTGAAAACTGAGAGGAACTATGTTTGTTGACTAATACGGGGCACTGCAGACCAAGTTTGTTTGTTAGCAGCGACCTTGATGACGCACCTTGTTTGTTAGCAGCGACCTTGATGACGCACCTTGTTTGTTAGCAGCGACCTTGATGACGCACCTTGTTTGTTAGCAGCGACCTTGATGACGCACCNTGACTTATGCTCAGCTACAACTAACTTCTTATATCAATGCGTGACTTATGCTCAGCTACAACTAACTTCTTATATCAATGCGTGACTTATGCTCAGCTACAACTAACTTCTTATATCAACGCGTGACTTATGCTCAGCTACAGCTAACTTCTTATATCAATGCGTGACTTATGCTCTGCTACAACTAACTTCTTATATCAATGCGTGACTTATGCTCAGCTACAACTAACTTCTTATATACAACACGGCTGCCTCAGGTTATTGTCAGGAAACAATCCCACTAGGCACTCCACAAAATGAAATACTGGAGTAAGTATTACTACATGAAAAAATGGTTACATTTGTTAGCTGAGATTAAGATAGAAACGTTTAATCTTCTTTATCATTGAAATGCTTAAATGAACAAATTCACAGGTGGTAATTTGCTTCAAATAAGCCAGGATAACTTATCCCAAAGTGAATTAATTCATTTTGTAGGATGTTGACTTGCCTTTGAATGCATAAGCCTCGAGTTGCAGCCGCTGTCCCGGCTTGAGCTTAGCCAAGACGAGGCTTGTGTTGACGCCTTTCACTTCGGGGGGCAGGGGGACGTCCTCCTGCAGGGGGGTGAGGGGGTTGTCAGCGAACACGGTGGCCTGGTTCCCGATTGGTTCCCATTCCAAGTGGTCTGTGGTCACTGCAAATGATAAACTTTAAGGAATGGAAACCAATTATCAGGAAAGAACATAGTACTTGTAGTCTAAAAAATTTATTGTGTCCTGACATGACATGTACCGTACTAACCAATGTAATAGCGAAGTGGTGTCAAATGAAAGCTTCACTATAGACAACTTGTGATCAAAAAGGCTGCGGCACAAGCGCTCGAATGGTCATGGTTTCCCATAAATGTAATATGAAATTAACCCCATTAGCAGCACACTCTGCTTGAATTTTCTTTGCTAATGTAATCTGAGGCAAATTAGGCGTTAAAAACTAGCATTTAGATGGGAAAAATTGTGTGCAGAGAAACGATTCATGACCGCTGTCAGTAAAGTAATAAATAATTGCATCATAGAATTCCAACTCAAACTGTAAGTTGAAGATATCGATAAGAACGATTTATCATCACACTATATTTCACTTAGTAACATCATATGAATTCCGCAGAGAAGTCTTCAATAGTTACCTATATAAGCTACAGCTGAAACAAGGTTCATGTTAGTGAGAGGATATCTTCAAGGGAATGGACAGCTCTAAATGATCAAAACAACATTGTTAGCGCTGCCACCAAGTCACGGCAATACCTCAGAGACAGCAATCTTTAACTAAATTATTCATTTTTACCAAAAAATCATTATTCATTTGATTAAATCAACTTTGACATTTTAATTCTAATAATATATCATGGAAGCCTCGGTGAACACTTGTTCTCGTCACATGGTACTTTACTAAGTGTTTTTAGTTATGGTATAGCTAGTTGTGAAGGTTCAAACATTTGAAAAATATCTAAAATTGTAATCTTTATCATTTTCTGAATGTTTTCTCATAGGTTCTGCAACTTTGATTGCGCTATTATAACTGCTTAATACCAAATCGAAATAAATTATGCTACCATTGAATAGCATTAAAAATGTTCACATCTTTATTATCATAGCAGACTGTTGTTCCTGGCATTAAAATATAGGCACAAAAAAGATGAATTATACTGGTCAATGGTGATATCTTGACCAGTTGTTGATGTCACATAATATAATATTTAATAATATAATAATATAAACCTACCAAGTTTATCCACTAAAGTTGTGACCCCATCTTCCTCCTTCAGAGTAGATTGATGTTGAGGATCATTCTTGCCCCGACATTTGACCCGAAGTTTGTACTTTACGCAGTTGTCTTCCGAAACTTGATCACAGTCTGCATGTAGAGAAGATTTTGTATTGAGCATCTATACAACTTGTGCCCCATCACGTTTTTATTTAATAATGTAACTAAAATTAACAATGCTTTACTTCCCATCCTAATAAATATTAAAAACATGCTAAACTTGTCAAAATAAAAACAATTAAAAAACCAGATGGTTTTTCTTGGAGAGTTTGGCTTGAAAACTGAAATTCAGGGAGGACGGGATGAGGGAGGACGGGATGAGGGAGAACGGGATGAGGGAGGACGGGATGAGGGAGGACGGGATGAGGGAGGACGAAGGACGGGATGAAGGAGGACGGGATGAGGGAGGACGGGATGAGGGAGGACGGGATGAGGGAGGACGGGATGAGGGAGGACGGGATGAGGGAGGACAGGATGAGGGAGGACGGGATGAGGGAGGAAGAATTCTCAGATCTCATGGATTGTCCCAAACAATATCACATTAAGCAGCTAGCATTTTAGAAGTTCAAAATTGAATATTAAATGTTTAGTCCAGCACTCATTGTCATCTGTCTGTTGCTTCCACTGCTAGAAAATAAAAATAACCTTGGTGATACATATAATATTCCAATTAATTTTATTGTGTTTTAACAAAATTCAAGTCATGCCAAGTCACAGTCAAGTTGCTACTGCAAACTAATCAATGGTTTTTACACTGTTCATATGTAATCAATTAATAACAATATACCTGTTGGTTTAAAATTGAAGAGATGTGGAGGGACCTTAAGTGGAATAAGACCAATTCTATGTGCCAGCACCTCGTCTTGTACAACACTTGTATTTTGGTACATAAACACCTTTTCTATCGCTACCGTAGCCACCTGCAAGACGTAACAATATAGTATACATGTAGCCAAGACGTAACAATATATCCCTAGTACAGGTGCTACAATTCACAATTTGATTACCTATGTAAACAAGCTACCAGGCATTCAGATATGGTGAGCATTATTGAAAGTATGCATACATAACAGGTTTATGAGTAAACATTTCTTCAAATATGTTAGAAATGAAACCCAGTATAAAGTTCAGGGTAGAAGCTTTGAGAAAATTATAACATCTGTACACGCTTCTATCTACATCAAATTTACTTTTATGACTAATTAGGTAGACCCAAGATATTTTTATGTCTACTTTTTGAAAAAAATCTTCCTCCATTATTAAATCACAACTAACACAAGCTTATTTTAGGGAATTCTGTTAGTAATAACCAGTGTGTCTCTGCAGACAGAAATTTAGTTTAAAATATTAAAAGGATCAAAATAATTGGAAATTTTCATGGTTTCAATGTTTGATTTTTACTTTTTAGTAATCACAAATTCAAATAAAATGTCCAGAACTATTCACAAAATATATGCAACCAACTAAAAGAATAAAATAAACATAAGATAATCCTTGAATATATCCCCTTATATATATTTTATATACAAATACATATATATTTTGAATAGATTTGGAAAAATTTTAAGATAAATTTTTGTTACAATGTGCATTATCCAAGGTTCAGTTTTCAGGTACTAGCTACTCATAAATAAAGGCTTTTGGTTTCAACTTTCTTACCAATAAAGCTCACCTCCGCTAAAACAATTCTTCTGTAAGCATTAATTAGTGAAAAGTGAAAACCAATGAAGTCAATTTCTAAATTCTTGTTATCCATTTTCCAGATTTTGATTTGGCAATCTTCATCAAATGGTGAACTCTTCCTCCCTGAGCCAGTGGTGCGCAATGTGGGTGTCTGAAAATAAGGAAATTCATCAATATATACCAGAGACAAAGTTCGTAATGATGTAGAACATCAATATGGTAATAGCATTTGGCAATCATACAAATTTCAATTGTCAAGGAAAAGGATTTCTAACTATAAATACATGTTGCCCTTTAATATCCACATTTTTATTTATGATAATTTTTGGGATAAAATAAGCATAAAAGGAAATTTGACATAAACATTAGAATAAAAATTTCAGTTATCAGAAATTTTCTAGATCAGACTTTGCTCCATATGCCCCACTTGGAATTACTCCGACAGGCTCATCATCACATAAATATACGTATATCTTCAGCTCAACTAAGCATGCGCTGTCATTCAGATGAAGACTGACATTTGTTAGTTGATAACTGATAGTTTTTAGTTTATAAATGATGGTCTGTATGATGATTTATTCAAACCAAAATGATATATTGCTTGATTTTCAACAATATAAACAGTTTATTAATATTTAATAAATATTAATATTTTCAATAATATTGCTTCCAGATTTTTCGAAAGCAGAATTTTCAGAAATCACAAAAAAATTTGAAGGGCCATTTTAGGAAATTGTAATAATGAAGGAAATAATATTAATAGGAAATTGTATAATAATAATTATAATAATTTCATAATAATATAAAATTAGAAATTGTAATAATAAAAAATGTGTAATTTTTATAAAATGAATTTGACAAGGGCATTCATATTAATGGGTGAATTCTGCCCTATTTTTCAGAGTGTTCATCAATTTTTTTTAAAAATTCACCCACATTTTGAAAAATTGGGCTAGAGCCACCCATGGTCATTATGACCCAGCAATTAGACAAAAAGGCCCATTCCTACAGTAAATTTCATTATTTCATTATTATTCTTTCATGAAAATTATTACATTATAATTTTTTCCTAGAAAACAATAAAAAAGCATATTTATGCAAACAATTTTCACAAATATTCCTTTAACCCTTTCCCTGGCGGATATAGAAATCGGATAAAATTGCGATATTTGATGATAGTATTTGAAAGTATGACCAATTCTAAGCTATATTTACTCCTAAGCATTTTTCAAAAATAAAAAAATAATTCTGATTTTGACATTGAGAGTTTACTATGTAGATGGTAAATAACAATTTGCTTGCTCTTTTATGCTTATATAATAACACATACCATCAAACGGGATAAAAAGGGATGGGCAGGGTAAATCGGGATGGGCGTCCCACATTTCGTAGAAATGTTGTAGCAGCTAAACTAATCAAAGTATTGCAAAACTAAAAATAGTGGCGTAAACTCCAACATTTTCACTATCTACTACTATGTATAAAGCTAGTCTACACAGTAAGGTTTCTGGTATGCCAGAAGGATCAGGATGCAGTGAAGCTAGTCTGGAAATCAGTTACGATATGTGTAAGTGTTGCGGTGTGTGGATAGTAAGTGATGTACTATCAAAGTTGCTTGCAGCACTTTCTTATTAAAAATTACCCACATGGATCTTGAAAATAGCTGGTGACGCTTTGGGCTAAAAAACACCATATCTTGGCAACGCTGCTTGCACCTTCTGCACCCTGGAATGGAGGTAGGCTGGCCTTCGCAGATTTTGAGGTCCTACTTTCAGATTTGCTATTCTTATTATATATAAACATATATATTATATATATATGTTTATATTATATATTACCCATCTGGAATTCCACAATGCAAGCCAAGTGACTGTCCAGATCCTGGAATGTCACCATGTTAGCCATTGGTGGGTGACATGGGAGGCCTTTTTTCACTCCCATTTTAACACTCTGACTCCGATTGCTTCATCTTGTACTATTATTTCATTTTTTGCACTGTTTTTAAACAGGGTTGCCAGACAGTAATTTTTTCTGGACAAATTCCATGATTTAGTTTTTTTCAATTAAGTTGGCCAGCTAAAATTTATGATAGGGGTACTTCCTAATTAAATTTTAAATACTGCAAAAAGAAAATAAATGGAATTTTTATAGTGGAAACTACAAATTAACTAGTATATATCGAGTTATTGGCCCTGATTGGCCTTTTTTGTTCTCAGATTTGCCCGATTTCAGGCAACCTGAATTATGTACCACTACATCCTGGAGAAATACATTTTGTGGGACGCAGATGTATCACTTCAGAGTCAACATGTTAATTAACATATATGGTAACAGGTAACTTACTAGCAAAAGGGTTATATGGTACTTTTAAATACCATTCTTTTACTTATTAGACTGGTCAGCACCATGGCTTGCAATTAATTCCACTCATAGCCTATTTAGCTACCTTGCCTAATTTCCTTTATAAATATAAAAACATAAATTATATTAGGTACTGCCAAAAATTGTCCATTATATCAGTTTTTATCAGCAAATTTTGAATAATTAAGCATGATGTTCCAGCAAATCTGGAATATTAAGCAGACTTTTTCTCAAATAATGTACAAAAAGGATTGACAAGTTATGATTGACAATATGATTGACAGTGATTTAAAATAAATGCAGGTGAAAATGTGCTATTTTTGTCATTTTTTTATGAAAGAAATGAAAGGCAAAAGCCAAAAAGAAACAGGAAAGTTTGATCAGTTTCATTTCAATCCACTGTGCAGAGAGTGGATGAATATTGCAAGATCTTTGGCAATGCTTCAGTAGCCAAATTTTCACCTTCAGAAGATCTTGCCGACACATTTAGATTGCAATTCTTGCATTTAATATATTTGTCAGTCTTCGGCCAACTATTTGAAAAAGTAAGGTTTCCGGTATGTTGGATTGATCAGTATGCAGTGAAGCTTGTTTGGAAATCAGTTGCGATGAGTTCCCACAAAAAAATGTAAACATCAAGTTTACGATTACGTAGTTGCGGTCACATTAGAGAGGTCAGACTGCATTATCACATGTTCAGTTGACACTTGCTGTACAATCAGGCTGTTTTAGGGTAAAATTAGTTATTTGGATTAACACATGCATGCAGGGTTGGTGATTTTTTTGATTTTTTTTTAAATCAAAAAAAATCAAAAATCAATGATTTTTTTTTATTTTTTCATGATTTTTTTTATTTATTTGATTTTTTTGATTTTTTCAGCTTTTTTGTCTTTTTGAGGTGTTATTTTTTATGTTGCTATTAGCCTACTAACAATAACAGTATATGGATCATAATGGATGGCTAAAAAGGGCACTCATTGCCTCCAATAATGGCCAAGGTGGTGTTTACCACTTAGGGATTTTGGGGTAAACAATTATTGATAAGTCTATTCATTAGCTTTGTAAAGTTTGTATGGAGCCAGGTAATGAGCTAAATATTGACCATTTAACTGGCTTCAATATACAAAAACACTTCAGGAATGCAGATCTTCTAAACATTGAAGAGTCACATCACAGATGGGTAGCTGATAGCACAGTGCAAATCACTATCAATAGATCTACTAGTTTCATATTTTATAAATCTACCAGACTCTACCCTCTATATACACCGACTAGTAGTGACTGAGTGACTGACTGCACTGTTCCCATTTAATTCAGACCAATAAACCAATACTAAACATAAACTGAACGATAACCAAACAAACCTCATAAGACTTGAAACGAGACTTGAGTTATGAGAAAGCTAACACTGTTTGAAATAAACATGTGCACAATTCAAATATTTTATATCCATTCACTGCATTTAATTATTTTATATATAGTCTTATAATTGTAATTGTTTTGTTTCTAGTTTTAAATTCACATATTTAAAGATTGAAATTAAATATTTTAATTAGAATACTCGTTTTAGGGTGGAAAATCTTTCTAATTGCCTAAAAGGTCATTACAATCTCAACCTCTCAATATACAGGGTGGGGCAAAATTGATTGAGCAGTTTTGAGGTAAAATAAAAGAGTAATGGAGGTACATAAAGAAGAAAGTTTATTTTCCTAGAGGTTAGCATAACATACCATTCAGAATACATATGTTTTGAAAACAATATCTGGAAGATGGGGGCCGTTAGCTGCAACACACTGTTGGAGTCGTTCTCAGAGGAGGGAGTAACCGTAACAGTGAATTCCGATCGCTATGCTGCAATGTTGCAAAATTTCTTGCAGCCCATGATGGAAAACATAGTTGAAAATGAAGCATTGGGAGACGTGTGGTTCCAGCAGGATGGGGCTACAGCTCACACAGCTCGAATGTCACTCAATGTTTTGAAACGCATGTTTCCCGGAGGTCTGGTGTCTGAGGGGCAATTTACAGTGGCCAGTGAGGTACCTGATTTGAGCATTTTCGATTTCTTTCTTTGGGGACATCTAAAAGAAAGGGGTTCAGAAGTTGCCCTCACACCCTACCACAGCTAAGGGGATGGATTATTGCAGCAGAGCTTATGGCCATACCTCGCCATATGTGTGAACGTACTGTAGGAAACTTCCGAGAACAACTCCAACAGTGTGATGCAGCTAACAAACCCCATCTTCCTGATATTGTTTTCAAAACATAAGTATTTTAAATGGTATGCTATGCTAATCTTGAGGAAAATAAACTTTTTCTTTATGTACCTCCAATGCTCTTATTTCGCCTCAAAACTGTTCAACCAGTTCTTCCCCACCCTGTATAAGCTAGCTAACACATTTTAATTGTATATTGTAATTAATATATAACAAATAGTCAAATAGTTGAAGACTACTTATAGGTTATAGCCTTATAAGAATTAGCTAAGCAGCTAGCTACGTACCATGTATTGCACACTTGATGCCTATGTACCAAAAACATTCAATTTATTGGAACCTAATACACACTAAAGGCAACAAGTTTATATACCAATTTGTCATTCATAATACATTTATACTAATCAAAGAATAACAATACCTCAATATAAATTAAAGACTGCCACTCAATATATTTAAATATATGAAAAAATAAAAAAAATCAAAAAAATAAAAAAAATCATGATTTTTTTACAAAAAAATCAAGTGATTTAATCACATGATTTAATCATTTTGATTTAATCATTGCCAACCCTGCGTGCATGCAACCTTGTAAATAAGTTTGTGGCTTGTAAATAGTTTTTCATTACTCAGCGTAAATGGCTTTTCATTAAAAATTACCCGGCGACGCATCTTAAAATTACCCGGCGACGCTTAGGGCTTAAAAACCCATATATTGGCGGCGCTGCATCTACCCTCTGCACCATGGGTTTCCGGTACGTTGGATGGATCAGGATGCAGTAAAGCTTGTCGGGAAATTGATTGCGATGAGTTCCCGCCAAAAATATGTAAACAAAATGTAGTTGCGGTCACATTAGAGCAATTAGACTGCATCATCACACGTTCAGTTGGCACTTACTGTACAATCAGGCTGTTTTTAGGGTAAAATTTGTTATTTGGGGTAACACAGGCATGCAACCTTGTAAATAAGTCCATGGCTTGTAAATAGTTTTTCATTACTCAGCGTAAATGGCTTTTCATTAAAAATTACCCGGCAATGCATTTTGAAAATGGTCGGCAACACTTTGGGCTTAAAAACCCATATATTGGTGAATGGTGATGCTGCTTCCACCTTCTGCACCCCACTGTGCAGAGAGTGAACGAAGATTTAAAGACCTACGGCGACGCATCATTGGCAAAATTTTTGCCTTCAGAAGATCTTGCCGACACATTTAGATTGAAATTCTTGCATTTAATATATTTCTCAGTCTTCAGCCAACTATTTAGAAAAAAGTAAGGTTTCCGGTACGTTGGATGGATTACGATGCAGCGAAGCTTGTCCGGAAATCAGTTGCGATGAGTTCCCGCAAAAAATGTAAACAACATTTTTTCAATTGCGAAGCTTATTTCACATTAGAGCGGTCAGACTGCTTTATTACTTGTTCAGTTGACACTTGCTGTACAACCGGACTGTTTTTAGGGTAAAATTAGTTATTTGGGGTAACACGTGCATGCAACCTTGTAATAAGTTCGTGGCTTGTAAATAGTTCGTCATTACTCAGCGTAACGCATAAGTACTCACAATAATTCCCTGCCACCATGAGTCTGACCGCTTTGACATGACCGGAACTATGCGCGATCTTCAACAAACGTTTTGTTTATTTGTTTACATTACGATGTTTATGTTTTTTCTGCAAGATATTTTTGGCGGAAACGGTAAAGCAATGCGGATTGCGGAAGTTGAAAATTTTAGGAAATGACATGTTTGCAAAGTGCAAACCGCGATTTTTTAATCGAATAAAAATTTATGACATTTGAGCCGCGAGATTTCATACCTACTGAAATTATATGATATTAGAGCCGCGATATTTCAGACAAAAATAGGACTTTTCCAGACTAGCCTGCCACCATGCTGGAAACCTTACATTTTTTCTAAATAGTTGGCCAAAGACTAAGAAATATATTAAATGCAAGAATTTCAATCTAAATGTGTCGGCAAGTCGGGCAAGATCTTCTGAAGGTGAAAATTTGGCTACTGAAGCGTCGCCAAAGATCTTGCAATATTCATCCACTCTCTGCACAGTGGCTGACATTTAAGCCTGACAATCTGACATGGCTGTTCTAGATTGTAGACTTGCAACTGTAATCCACTTCATTATTAATTTCAGAAAACTGAGAAAATTGCAAATTAGTCATCAGTGTAAATAGCTACAAGCAAAGGTAATAAAATTCTAATAGCTAATAAATTTGCAATGCTGCTGGCAAACTTTTGGGCCAAGTTAACTGATATTGGCAGGGTCATGACTTAGCTTAGGGATATTAATTAAATAGCAGCTAATATTTAGGTATCCCCTAATTTCTAATAAATTTTATATTCAAACCACATATCATATGACATATCATATCTAAATCATCTAATATCTTCAAAATCCATGACTTACCTTATTTCCTGAGGTAGTATCAGGAGACAAGACATGTTGGTCAAGTTTATATCGGTTATTATAAATCATTATACAAATTATCCTTAGTCACAAACTCCCAAAAACAAAATTATTCTGAACACTTTCGGTAGTTCAACATGCGGTCCATCACGTGTAAATATACCAGGTAGCCTATGCAGCTCCTTGTTCTTTTCATCCGTTTTATTTAAGACTACGGATGTATACTTTAATCAAGTGGTAATTTTTTATTCGAGATTTAGCTAAATCATATTACTTGATATTTATTCTCATTCTCATGGATTTTGTGAATCATCTAAATTATTTTCTTTATATTATCACGATAAAATAACTCACAAATGTTGCTTTGTCTACGCGTCACACCGTTGTTTATTTTATTCCAGGAACAGGGATCGACGCTTCTCTGACCGCCAAAATTTCTAAATAACCCGGAACGAGCCTGTCCGTGTACGCGGATACTAAAAAATATTAAAACTAAAACTAATAGTTAAGCTAATGCTGGGATTTATTCCAGCACAAATTTTTTATTCGAGATTTAGCTAAATCATATTACTTGATATTTATTCTCATTCTCATGGATTTTGTGAATCATCTAAATTATTTTCTTTATATTGGCAATATTTCGCATATCAAATTATATATTTTCTAAAATTGATTTCATGACATGTTATAGACATGAATGCAGTCCTTAAACTCCATTAATTAAATATATAACTTCTCTATTACATATAGATGAAATAATTAGGCTTACAAGCCGATATTTCTGGACGTAGTGCATGATGAATATCGACCAAATTATTTTGCGTAAGATGCTTTGAACTGTAACCACTGGGCAGGGTGGCCCACTGCTGCAGTTCAGAGTACCAAGATTGGCGCAGAGAGGCGCGGGTTCGATCCCAGCTCTGTGCGTCAGTTTCTGGTCAGAATCGGCAAGGAGGCAGTTGAGCGCAGTAGAATTGTAGCAGTGAGTTGCGAGTTCGAAACCGCAAAATGCTGTGAATGTTCTGCGGTGTTATGAAACGGCGACAGGCCTACGGCCTAATAAACGCTGAAACCGCTTTTATTATTATTATTATGCTCTTTGGCGTAATCCATTCAGTGGCTCACGCATTTGTTTTTGGTGAGGTGATTTGTGGGCTTATCTCAACTTTGAATCAACGAGATCCTATTTTTGTTGCTTAGGGCCACGCGCGAAGAAGTTCTGATTTGATATCAAATTTGCGTCAAGAATTTCGCGTTGTTAGTCAAAATTATACCCAATATACAGTCTTTATATTCCAAAATGCTATAAATTAAAATGCTAAAAATACTAAAAATGTTAATGTAGAAATAAGGTCAACTTAATGGGTTTGCGTCTCTCTTAAGTACCTGCAGATAATTGTATCCCAGACTGAACTATTCTCAGCCCCGCCGTCACAAATATCGCGCAGCTCAGTTCAGTATCATGAATACACTTAAGACAAATATATACGACATTGTGTGTCTCTACAGGAATTCACTCAGGAATTTCGTAGCTTAGTATAGTGTGCGACTATGTATCGTTTGTCCAATTATTGCCCATTAATACGTATAATATGTTCTATGTAACAGTTATATTCTTCGTACTTAACCTATTACACATAGGTGCCACTGGCAAGTGACTAAGGCGCTCGGTATTCAGGCCACCGCATGTAGGTAATAATGTTTGATTAGGTACAGAGAGATGTTTAATAACATGTTCACAAGTTCGCTCCAATATTAATAACTGAAATTAACTGCCTTCACGAGAAATCTCATCAATTTAAGAATGTCAAAAAATAATATTCATCCATTTCTTAAAAGCACTGATATAATCTTTAGTTTTATTTAAATATCATCAATTGAATCTTCCTTATCATTGTTTATTTCTCTTTGTTCTGGATCAGATGGTGATACAAGATCCATGGATTTTTCATTTCTCGAAGCGCTGTGATGCAAGAGCCGTTTCCTGGTCAAGTGTAGCGAACTTTTCAAGCGAGCGCTGCTGTCTCCTCCGTCACTGTCTCTGGGGATCAGATTTTGAACACGCTGCTTAGCACTGAAGAAACGAACAAGCGGATCCCGCAATCGCGGCAAAGCGTTAACAGGAGAATTTGGGATGTTCGGAAGACGAAGACGTTTCCTCCTGGACGTTTTTCTTGAAGAATAATTCCTTTGCAACGGTGGAACTCTTGCTGCCCGTGACAACGGAATTTCGTATGGCCTTACTTCTGTGATAGAGGTTGCTTGTTTAGATACTACATCCAGGGGAGCACGTCTGGCGGCTGCTGACGCGTGTGCAGATGTAGGTTGAATTGGATATGTCTTTTTTGAGACGCTATTTGGTGCTTGGTGATGGACAATTACGGTTTGAGATTTAGAATGAGGTAAGCTTCGCGCCTCAGCAACACGTGGTGGTCGTATTGTCACTTGGGGGTGAAGGAAATCTGGCTCCGTCATCTCTTTGAAGAACATGTACATTCTACGTCGAAGTTCTGCATCAGTCGCAATCGGACGCCGAATTTGTTGCCGATGAGGCGCTATCTGGCGCAACACTCGTTCAGCCCACGTCCTCTGCGTGTGAGCTCTTCTGTAATTCATGGACGTGTTGTGATCTCCATGCATGGGTCCGAATTCGTCTTCCAGCTTCTGAATGAAATAATTAGCGGCGTATTCAGCACCAAGCAGAACGAGAGCCGCTCCCCAGCCTACCAGGAGCAACAAGAATGCCAGCCTCAAATCATAAAATGAGAGTGAACCGACTGGTTGTACGACGCAGGGCAATTTTTCGTCTCTACTACGAGATAAAGAGTCGTACAAATCTGCCTGCCATTTATTAAGGAATCCAAAACTTTGAAGTCTAACGATGATTGGATCTAATTTTTCTTTCAGCGGTGATTTGCTTGCCATGAGCCAACCTCCAAGGACCGTATGTAAGTTCTCAGAACTGACCTGAATTGCTGGCTCCCCACATTGAGTGGTGTACCGAGTACGAATGGTGGACTCGGCATAGCGTTTGGGAACGCCTACGATGCACATGCCATTTGTGTCCAAGTTGAAGAAGCCCTCTGATATTGAGGACAGGCGGCGAGCGTCTCTTGCAAGTTTTTGCTGAGAAGCGTCCAGACTGGAGGCCAGGACGGTCTCCACGGTAGTGCCGCGTACCAAACCGTACTTCTTCGCTGAATCTAGCAGGGCTATAGAAGAATTTATAGGTTCCTCGTATTGAGGCTCTAGAATGCAATAAAACAAGTTCCAAAAGTACAAACAAGCCATTATACGCCAGTAGAATGAGCCCGCCACCAGAAAAATGTTCTTGACGGATTTCATGAAAGGAGTGTCGTTTTGCCTGTTGCGTTGCTTGACAGAAGAGGCAAAAGAAGCGATGATGAAGGCGACAATGTGTAACAAAACTAGAAACGTGAAAACGGATGGTGCCTTTTCGCTACGGAAGGGAAACATTATGTATGGCCAAAGGGGCAGTTTTGTCGGCCGAGGACAAACGATGCTCCAGAGCTCTTGATGAAACATGGTGCTGTATAAGGCAACTGCTGATCGCTGGGATTTGTATACGATTCCACCAATGGCCAAATCACTTCTATTGTTAACGAGGTCTCCAACTTTTCCTGTCCACGAGCCATTGATAAAACGTCCCCATTCGTTGTCTGCTGGTATTTGAAGAACGTACGTAAAATTTAGTGCTTCAGCTGCGTACTGCAGCATGCGGTATTCAAGCCCATCAAGAACTCCTTCAGATGTTGTGTAAATATTGGGCACTGACGGAGTATAGGTCACTCTTATCTTCTTGCCCAATAAGCTAGGGTTCTTGGAGCGCCTCTTCCAGGTCAGGCCAGCATATTCGCCCAATTCGCCAATTTTTTCCATTGCAGGCGAGTACCCGCATGACAAACACGACTGTTCAACGACAAACCTGACCTGACTGGCATTTTTACCTGGAGTCTCATTTTTCCGAACTACAATCCGTCTGTTCAGTTCCGGGATGAAGCTGCCGATGTTTTTGTATTCCGTTGTGAGGATAAGTGTGTCTTCCTGTCGGACAATGTCAGGTAGAAGTTTCGCCAGTACGAGAAGGCCGCGCTGATGGCCTGCCTCTGACCAACTCAGAAGGACGCGGCATGTTTCTTTTTCAGGTCGATTAGTGAGAAGATCCACTTTCGGCATCACCGGTGGTCCTCTTTGAGCGGTGATCAAACCGAGCCGAATGTTCGTTACATCCAATAGCATTATGGGCGATCCTAAGACTGCTTGCAATTGACGCAGCTGTTCGTTAGATACAGTTTTCTGGTCGAAATACAGTAGCAATTGGCACGGGCCGGTTCTTCCCCCACCATATTTCTCCACGACCTCCGCTATGACTGTAGGAGTGACATCTTGTGGTGCCAATTGGTTGCGGAGTTTCGACGAATTCAATTTGGGCACACCGTGCGAGAGGTGCCATAGCGTAAACCCTGCCAGGACCACGGCAGTGAGCCTCATCCCTGTGAACAAAACAACTTGTAATCATTTGGAACCTCGGAAACTAATGATTAATTAATAATTAAAACAGGTTAAAATGGTACAATAAAAAATATACAGATTGTTGTAACAATATTAAAGGAAACGTCATAAATTCTACTTCGTATCTAAATCTCTTTAACGTCAGCGATTTTACTCCCATTTGGTCTGAGACGGCTCTTTTTCAAAAAGCAGATAATGTATGATAGTGAACACTATATGTATGATGTCAATTTAGTAACGGATGACGTACAGTAATGCAAAATTTTACATCCGACGTATAATTTACTGCGTTACCATTTTTCTTTTCATTATCATTTCATTTCATTAACTTATTCTTATATCATTGTCAAAGACACTATGGCAGAAAGAGTATAATTGATAAAATAGAATTGATGTGAAGTAAGACAAGTCCTGCTGTTTGGAATAACCACCTAGAGGTTCAACGTACTATAAATGTATCAAAAACCGTCCATTTTGCTCATCAGAGAGGGAACAGTAACCTTACAATGAATTGAAACAATATAGTTTTCATTGGCTGAACCTAACAAACCAAAGAGAATGAAATCTATGGACTTCCCTTTAGTTGTAAACTGATCTCCTTCACAGCTGATAAAATGGTTAGCATTCACTTTCCCTGTAACATGATCCCCTCAACTGAGCTAATGCTTAGCGGCTAAATTGTTCTCATTGCACTAGGTATTTCAATAGAGTGTGACTCTACCTTTACTTTGAACAGAAAAGTTATAATTGTAGTAATTATAAAACTGCTTGTCTCACCTCTTCAGTTGCCGTCGCTTGACTCATTGTGAAGCTAAAGGCTCTGCTACTCCAGACTAAAGCATCGAAGCTCAGCCGGCTGACATGGAACTGAGAATCATTTACGTTGACTTCTTTCGCTCACTACTCGCGAACCTGTCGTAACTCTCTGAATTGGTTAACGATTGCTACTAGTTCTTCATTGACAGTGAATTCAAAATTTGTTCCACGCAGCTGGAAAAGTTAAGACCTTATAAAAACACCCAAATCGATGCATGAAAAGATCGACTTATATATTTAAATCTTTCTGAATGCGAGTTCTAATTTTTGGAGGTAGCTAACAGATGGTTCTGAATATTACGAAATAATAGAAAGAAAAAGTTCCTCTAATTATCATATAGCTAAAGTAAAAAAAGCCATCAAAACGGAATAAAATTTTATCAAATTACCAGCAATTTTGTCAAAATAATCAACGTCCATGCCATGATCTCCCCTTCCGAACAAGCCCACCCAGTCCCAGAGCTAACAAATGCGCTTCAATATCAGCCAACGCTTTGAACAAAGTAGAACAGGAATTATTTAAAATCAAAAATAAAAGCTGTTACGGAGCCACTCGCAGCTTGAAGTAGTTAGCAAGTCGTCCCGATGACCTTACCAACTCACTCCGCACATTGTCTACCAGCTTCACTTCACAGTCCAAGTTAGAGTAAAAGTTATTAGTAGTAGACTAATTCATCTGTATAATTCGTGAACACGAATATTCCTTCAAATTCTAAGTGAAAATAGGCTCAGAGCCTGGTTCTCTTCTCAACATTGTTAATCTGAAATCAGATAAACATTTTCAATGCTTTGCAGCGCATGGACGAAGGTCAAGTTTAATCGATTACTCAAAGTATTTTCACAGAATAAGCTACACGATTCTATTGGAAGAATACGTAGCTTGGACCTATTCCAACAATAAGGATGCAGAATTACTGCAAGTAAACGTTCGAAAAGACTACCTACCACTGATGCGACAGGTATCATCTCAAGCCGATCTCTGGAGGCAGCGGCTGAAGCGAGGCGTGTTCTCAGCGACGAATGCCACGTGAATAATTCAAGCGTTCTCGTAGCCGAAGCGTCAAAAGGCCACCGCACCACGCAGTCGCACCGAATAGCTCCAAGTCAATGACGTAGAATATATATAAATAAACAATCCAGAAAATGCCGCTAAATTGCATGACAAGTGCCCAGAACTATGTTTGAGGTCAGGTTTCCGTCGGCTCAAGTATCGAACTGCTAATGCTGTTCTGATCAACATTTAGCGTCATTAAGCTTCGAGCCTCCTAGTTTTCCGACCTTCAAAACAAAAAATCAGGTAGAGTTAATCCTCTGTTAGCAGAGGCGTTGATCAGACAACTAGCTGTAAGCGCAGAAACAGGGGTACACTGCCAAAAAGCGAAAAACTCCCCTAAGTTTACGACGTTTAAATTTCGCTTCATTTTCTAAGCTGTGATGCGTCACCGCAGTTGAATTCTAATGGCGGCTACCTTAAGTCGATTTTAAATTAAAAAACGGAATATACAAATGACATTTTGCGCGAGGAGTGCTCCAGAATACTGAATATTTAAACCAATGCCATGTTGAACTCTTTCGGTAGGCAACTTCTCTCAACCACCATACCAGACTATTTCGATTCAGGCAATGCCAACATAGGCCTTTGTAACTCAAGTTTTCAAGGAACGCCAAATTAGAAACGAGGGGGCCTATCCCGAGTCCGTGGATGGTCTCTTTCCACTGTTAATTAGTTTCTTGCACCGAGTACTCTGTGCTTTAAAGTCAGCAATGCTGTTCAGCATCACCCGTTCCAACTGACTCCAGAAAGGAAAATCGGTTACACGCTTCAATGGGGTGAGACCGTTGGAGCGGCGAACGCAATCCAGCCCGCCGAGAAGGGAGGCTCGCACAATTTTTAGAGGTGATCTCCACAGCTTCAATACTTCTATTTAAATCTACCCGTCTTCATTAGGTTAACGAAAGTATTTGACAGAATTTTTTAACTTACATATACTTAAGGTCATTCTTTCAAAAAGTTACAGAAGTTACAGTTGTCAACCTAGGTAAAACCCTGATCTTAAAAACTTTTGTAAATTGAAATTCAACAAGGAAAGTACCGGACAATTAAGTTAAGAATGGCTTCCACAAAAGGCAGGTCTTATTAGTCTGACTTGAGAGTTTGCTCGATATACATGGAGTGCACGGACGATATATGGGCGAATTTAAAATAAATTAAACTCACGACCACCGAATTGCACCGAGCACAATGATACTATGGGCCAAGAGTCTGATGCACAAGAGAAATTTCTCACCGAAGCAAGGATTTGTTAATGCATTAGACTTTAGCAATTGAGAGCCTACTAAAATTTTAGGAATACATTTTATTTATCTGCAATGTCTAGATTAAAATATTAATGCAACTTAATTTGATAATTTAGCCCAAGTAGAAAATCTCAAGCCGCCCGCAGGACATCTGGCGGCTTGAGGAAGTTGCGAGGTTAGGAGGCTAGAATATTGCATGACAACGAGAGATCCGGTAGCGTTTAAATAGAACAGCAGAAAAAACACGTTACGGGTGGAAAGATGGTGTGCGAGTTGAGGGAGAATCTTAAGGTCCTGGCATTTCTTACAATCGACAGACACAAAATTTCCATTATTTTCTATAAATTCCAACGAATAACTCGTCGGAATGAAGAATGCATCCTAGAATACAGACAACCCGTAAGAATGCGACGTCCATGCCTGCAAGATGAAGGCTATACTGGATGGTTATGATCAAGATTAATGAAGGTAAACTGAAAAGGTCTCCGCATATTAGTAGCAATGATACATCATTGCACCGATAAGTGAAAACTAAAAAAGGAATCACTCAAGATATACGAGGCATATTTTAATTTCCATATCCTTCAGAGAAGTTTTTAAACTAAGATTATGGTAATGCACCTATTTCTCCTCGCACCATTCATTTTCTTTTCTGACTTGTTCCTCTTCAGCAGGAGTGAAGTCATTCTTGATATTGAAGGTCTTGCGTATCTCCTCAGGAGACTTGCCCTTGATCATGTTGGCTACCGTCTTGCAGGTGACGTCGAGCAGGCCTTTGATGTCCAGGTAGTTCGCTGCCAGGATCAGCTCGAACAGAGTGCCTTGGTCTACCTGTGCGTACGAAAAATCACATCTAGATAAAAATTATCAAATTCATTTGCAGATATGACTTGACAATAGAAACTTCAGTTCACATAAAAACTGACTATACAAAATTTAGAAATGAATGCAACTTTTTTTCTAAACTAATAGCTAGACAACTACTAACGCTTGCAAACGTAGACGTCCGAGATTATAGGACTTGCGCTCGCATCATAACGACAGGGGTCCGAGCAGTCACACGGCCGCATTGTGCATGCATTACGTTCTAACTATTCGCTGAAATTAATAACCCAGTTACAGTCTCCTTTGGACCTGTCGTGCAAGCGATGTTAATGCCGGAACAATTCTAGATAAAGATGTCTAAAATTACCAATAGATAGAGACTTTGAAAAATCTTTTCGTGAACAATATCTGTAGAGATGAGGTATAATTGTTCAAACAAAATGCTTCCAAGTTACGACACATTCATAAAATGATAAAAACCAATCGATCTAGGATTTAATGTTAGGATTAGCGACACGTTCGAGAATGGGCAGTATCATGGACAAGTTAAACTTACGATATTCAAAATTAAGGCTGACAACCACACTACCTTATGCTGTGAGATTTTCATTCGAAATTAACATGACTTTCAGGAGAGGAAAATTGGCTGTCCAGCGCCACAAATTCATCAAGAAATTCCTGTAGAGGTAATGCAAGACTCATTGGGGAGGTAGTGCAGTTACGGACATCTAAACTAAGGGTACGCACACAGTGGAAGCAGGTTTGCCCGCGCGGGCACCCTGCTCCAACCTGCCACAAGAATGAACATAGTATAATAATACAAGTGTTCACAGTGAAAACCAGTACGAATAGGCTTTTGTATTTTATGGTTTCAGGCGGCAGCCTGAGCAGGTAACCAGCACGCTGGCAACCTGCTCCAACCTGCTCCAACCTGCCACAAGAATGAACATAGTATAATAATACAAGTGTTCACAGTGAAAACCTGTACGAATAGGCTTCTGTATTCTACGGTTTCAGGCGGCAGCCTGAGCAGGTAACCAGCACGCTGGCAACCTGCTTTCACTGTGTGCGTACCCTAAACGTGGAAAATCTGAAAGCTAATTTCCAGTAATAACCTTGAGGAAGTCAGCATCCCAAGACGAAATATCATCAGTCCTCTTTTCCTTGTTGTCATCCTCGTCAGGCAGGGGAGGGTCGTCCTTGTGGGAGCTGCACCACTGGATCACCTTCTTCATGATCGCCGCGTTGACGTTGGGTAGAGGAACGACCTCGTCCTCCCCTTCATCCATGCCTGCACACACAAGGTTTAAGGCTGAGCAGAACCACGTCAAAAAAATGCCTGTCATATACGCGAGAAAAATTTGCCTACACGGTAAAATCAAAGTGACTAGCTTTACCCACTCATGATATATGAATTACAAATAAATTTGAACAAAACTACAGGCAATGTTGAGAGGACGACTAAGTAATGATAAGCTGCGTTTAGAAAATGTATACATTCATCTTCAATGAATATAGATGTGGGTAATAAAATTTCAACCTGACTTTCCAGATGGGAGGTAAATAATGAAGCTAGAGTCGTTCATTCCGTCAAGGATATGCACAAGATGAAGTTAACCAATTTTAGTAATTAGTGGTATACTTTGACCAAAATCAATAAAATAAGTCATTTAATATAATTACAACACAAAGTATGCTAATGTCTCACCCAGATCATCCAACATAGTCTTGATTGTGATGCTCTGCTTGGCTATCTCCACATCAACTTCAAACACTTCTCCATCGCTGCTCTGTAGCTTGATGTTCGGCATCTGGGGAGGAATAATTCAACTTAGTATATATCAAAGCTATGTATGGAGTGGTAGGATTTTCAAGAAATTTTTTCAATCACGAAGAATCTTTAGCCATTTCTTTCTAAGATGGTCATTCATTTGCCTAACTACCAAAGGTAGGCTATGTAGTGCCATACCATGAAAACTGTATGAATGAAAGTTTACCTAATTATGATAATGAACTGATTATTCAACACGTTAAACAAAATCCCAGGATAAATAATAGTATAGAGAAGGGAACACAATATAGAGAACACAGAAATTGAGGAGACTAAACCACGTCTCAGGGTGGGAAAGAAATGAGTTAAATGTTCAATATTGGTACAGAACTGATATCTGCTCTGCTACTATTAAGAGCCAATCAACAGTAATTTTTGGCACATTTCTTCAATATTTTCAGAGTAATAGATTCAATCTCTGTGCATTTTATGTCAGAAGAGGCAATAGCAATGATGTGGAATAAGTAAATAAAACATCTTCTGCTCATTGTCCCAGGTACAGCCATTTTATCTGGTACAATGAGAAAAAAGGGTTTTAAGAATTCACATCATAGACAACTATTCAATACCACACAGACATGGTGACCAAGATGATAAAGAGTGTGACCACATTACTAGACACTCCTAGTATTAGAAAAGGCAGGCTGCTGATTAAATAGCTGCAGACATGCCAGGCATTCTGGAAAGATTTAGCCACTTAGAACATATATTATAAGCATTGAAAATTTTTGACTAAGGTTTAATTCTAGGCATTAACTCTTTCATCATGGATACATTTAATATTGTCAATGCTATTTGTGCTAGTGGTTCGGGACTGATAAATTCAGTCAGTCATGAAGGAGCTAAATTTCAGGAAAAAATAAAAATCATTCAATTTTGCCTTAAAAACTGCAACATTTCCTCAACCTCAGTGGCAATGTACTGTAGCCGTGTTATTTTTATAATTTTATTTCTCAATTTCAAGACCGCAAATTACAGGAGTTATGACAGCCATAATTGTTTCTATAACCAAGGTTCCTATTGCCATTTTTAGGGTTAAAGTAAATATTTAATTTCAAATTATAGACTACAGAAACAAGTTGGCAACTCTTTTCTAATTAGTACACTTCAAAACCAGGACCATGTATAATAATTGCGCCAGAAATTCTAAACCCAGACTTTCCTTCTATAACTCTGGTAATTTATACAACAGCCAAGAGTTCCCATACTAGATTCAGTCTTTAGATTCATACTAGATTCATACTAGATTCAGTCTTTCATACTTTAGATTCATACTAGATTCATACTAGATTCAGTCTTTCATACTTTAGATTCATACTAGATTCATACTAGATTCAGTCTTTAACATCTGATCCACAATTCTTGGAATTGCACCCCTGCTCAACAGCATATCTATACATGTCCCACATAATACTGAAATATTACACCCCAGATGGTCACATACATTTTAGGGACTTCATAATTTTGTAAGATAATTCATTCAATTCAGATTTTTTTGTAGTTCTGAAGCTTAAGCTAACCAAGTATTTCCCAGATGCAAGAATCTTTGAATCGAGGATACTTACTAGTCTACTTTTAGAACTTTAAGGCCAACAAAACATTGCTATTTCACTGTAAATTCAAAATTAATTATACACCAAAAATTGATTATGCTGATAGAAAGCTGCTAGCTTGTCCACACAAAGTTGAGCAAGCCGGTGGCTCTGATCCAGAGTCAAAAATCAGGTAGAAGCCACACATGAAGGACAAAAACATCCGTGCTTACAGTAAATTTTACAAATTCCTATGGCGCTTTACTACTTTCTTCAGAAAGACAAAAAGCGGTGAATTTNGCTCTGATCCAGAGTCAAAAATCAGGTAGAAGCCACACATGAAGGACAAAAACATCCGTGCTTACAGTAAATTTTACAAATTCCTATGGCGCTTTACTACTTTCTTCAGAAAGACAAAAAGGGGTGAATTTTACCACAGACTCAATAATCATTGGATGTACTATTTTTTCACCTGCAAATATTTGAAAATTTTGCTAATATTCCCTGCTGAGCTGTGTCAATGGCACAACCAAGTACAATTTTAAAGTCATTATCAGAAGATATTTCAGTGTAAATTTAAAATCTAAATTAGCAGCATAGTTGATAAATAATGAAGAAAAGAAGTCTTACCTTTATAGGATATTGGTTGATCAGATGAAAAATTCCTCACTACTCACTAGTAGCAGTCAACTTAGTCACTGTATCTGAAAAAATAGCAATTGCGAAAATTAAACTGGCAATTCCTGCAAAACAAATAAATTAAGACTGATGTAAAATAAGCTTAATAATTTACATAAATGATACGCTGCTAGCATACACCAAACACAATTAGTAAAGTCTAATTATAGTATTACAGTACCATCAAAATGGGTAATAAGGGACAGACAGGGTAATAAGGAGCAGATGGGTAAATCAGGACAGTCCAATTACAGGGCGTAAAAATGTTATAGCAGGAAAAATAATAAAAATCTTGCTAAACTAAAAAGAGTGGTGTATACAGTATGTCAACATTTCTAAATGTTTACAAGTGATATTTTGAAAAGGTACTTCTGCTAAGGTCTGTAGTGAAAAATGATTAGGCTGCATTAAGAAATTTTGCTTGAAAAAAGTTGCAGATAGGCATCAGCTTTAAACCTTCATTGACCTAATTTTTGAACCTCAATCCAAAACAAAATGGCAGCCATTTCCACAATATGGGTAATAAGGAACATCACCCTGGTTTAATACGGGACACCCCTAGAAACACATCTACAGTAGAATCTCAATAATCAAAGGTTCCAGTTAATGAAAAAATCAATCAACAACAGAACTATGACTACATTTACCATGCTTTAAAAAAATTTCACTGAATAAATTAATGCATCATCAGTTATCAAGAATTGTGCACCATGCAACATAGAATGAAAAGTAACTGAAACAATGATTTATTGCTTCAAGATATAATGGTAGTGATTTTAATACATGAATGGCTATAAAAATATCACCATATGCATAACTCAAGTTCTGATTGCTTTACGTCACTCTCAAAACACCACACTATTCGCCAGCAATGATGAGACATCATAAACTGTTGCCATTTATTTAAAAGCCTTCAGAATTCAAATCTACAAAATTGCTGAATTCCAAATCTGTGTGTGTCACGAAATTTCGCATATTGTGAGACTAATTTTGACAGCGCTTCAAACTCTTACTAATTCTTAATTCCAATGCCCTGTGTTGGAATTCATACTCCCTGTGTGAGCTGTATCGGAATATGACAGCTCGGAATGAGCTTAATTAGAAAATTTTAATTTTTTAATTAAGCTTTTAATTACGAGCTATTGAGCTTTTTATTAAGAAAATTTTAATTTTTGGACACAGCTTGGAACGAGCTGTGTGTGTCTAATTCCAAGCTGTGTTGGAATTAGTTTTTAAGTGTCTAAAACCGTCTCTTTACTTAATCATCTATTAATTTATTTACCACTTAAAATCAGCAAATACAGGTATACTAAAAGGATTCCCAATATATTCACAGACATTTAAAAGTTTCAAACCATAATATTCTTTCTACACAATCAGTTCATCACTATTTGGTAGAGCAAGGTTAACTATCAATTTCGACACGTGTTTCGATGTTCTCACTGGGTGACGTGGTCTTTCGCGCTGACTCTGAGGATCTTAACAGAGTGTCACAGAACTCAACAGAGAGTGTCACACTTAACAGAGTGTGACAGAAAAGTTGAGAAGTGTCAAAATTACCCACAATGTCAAAATATGGTGTGTCTACCCTAAATGTGTGATTTCTTAAATTGCTTTATGCTGCATAGATAGTAAAAATATTGAACTTTACACCACTATTTTCAGTTTTGAATAGCTTAGGACTTTAGGTGCTACAACATTCCTACAAAATGTGGGATGACTGTCACAATTTACTTTGCCCATCCCTTATTATCCTGTTAGACAGTACACTAATCACAGAAAATGTCAATTTTCTACATCTACTTCATTTAGGCTACAAAGGAAGAGGAGGACTTTGGAGTACTATTAGTAATTACCTAACAAATACATTCTGCACATTTCAAATGTTTTAAATTTAGGTTTAATTCAAGTTTCCCAATTTACTCTATTCACATGGGTAATTACTAATTTTAGATGCTTTTGTTTCATGCCTTTTCCAGCCCAATCAGAAAAAATGTGTAATATTGCGTTTTTTTTCTTTCAAGTTATCTTCAAAGTTCAAACCATCCTCTGAGGCTGGCCCCTGGCAGAGGTTCAGGGTTCTGACCAGACTAGTGACCAGAAATTCCAGTCTTCCAGATTTATATGATTGCTATTCCAATGCAATGACAAGTAGCCAAGGGCCCAAAAAAGTGCAGTACCTAACTTCTGCCTATTGGCAACATCTGTGTGGCTGTTGACAGTTGTTTTTACAGTGGACAGTAGCATCTTTCCCAATCCCAACTAGGACTACCTGTGATTAGGAGCCAGGGGGCAGAGGGTGGATGCAGCATTGCCAATATATGGGTTATTAAGCCCTAAGCGTTGCCGGGTAATTTTAAGATGCGTTGCCTGGAAATTTTTAATGAGAAGCCATTTACGCTGCGCTGAGTAATGAAAAACTATTTACAAGCCACAAACTTATTTACAAGGTTGCATGCATGTGTTACCCCAAAAAAACTAATTTTACCCTAAAAACAGTCCGATTTTACAGCAAGTGTCAACTGAACATGCGATAATGCAGTCTGACCGCTCTAATGTGACCGCAACTATGTAGGGTAAACGCGGTATATTCCGACATCGTAGGTAATTCCGTCACCTCTCCAGCTTTTCCTTTATATTAAGCTTTGTTTTAGTTCCATGCGTTCATTGATGGTTGAAATGGTGACGTCATACATTTGCGTGTCGAAATACTGCAAAAACACTAGGTCTTGGCCATCTAGTGGGAAAATATTGAGATCCAAAGAGACAATGCATGCCACGTGGTGAGATCATCGAAAAATGTGTCAAATTTGACAGTTGACATGGCTCTACCAAATTAGTGAATAACTGTTTTTATAGGAAGAATATTATAGTTTGAGACTTAAATACGTCTGTGAATATATTAGGAATCCTTTAAGTATACTTGTATTCGCTGATTTCAAGTTGTAAATAAATTAATAGATGATTAAGTTGAGATGTTGGATTTCGACACATGAAAACTAATTCCGACACAACTTGAATTGGACACACACAGATCGTTCAAAGCTTTTTACAAAAAATTGAAATTTGCTTAATTAAAAGCCTAATAGCTGTTAATTAAAACGTAATTAAGTAGTGTTCAATATTCGTTAGTGTTCTAATTCAAAGCCGTGTTGTATCCCAATACAGCTCACACAGCAAACGGAATTCGAACACGTGGATGTGGGCAATACCGTATTGCCAATACGTATCAGTTAAATTTGAAGCGCTGACGCAATACGACTCACCACGTGTCGGATGTTGCCACACAAAGTGACGGAATATAGGGATTTGGTAGGTTTCCATTCTAAAGGCTTTTTAATAAATATTTTTAATAAATAAATAATAAATAACTGGGCAGGGTGGCCCAGTGGTTAAAGTTCAGAGTACCAATTGATTGGCGCAGAGAGGCGCGGGTTCGATCCCAGCTGTGTGCGCCAGTTTCTGGTCAGAATCGGCAAGGAGGCCGGCGGTTAAGCACAGCAGAATTGTAGCAGTGAGTTGCGAGTTCAAGCCCGCAAAATGCTGCGAATGTTCTGCGATGTTAAGAATCGGCAACAGGCCTACGGCCTAATAACGCTGAAACCGCTATTATTATTATTATCATTATATTATTATTATGGCAAATTTTGTTGATGTTTCATCGTTGCTGACGCGTAGTGAAGTGTTTTGAGAGTCAAGTGAAGGCAACAGAACTTACGTAACGCATACGTTTTTTTTATAGTTTTTCATTTCTCGATGCGTCCTTAATGTGTCTGAATATACCGCGTTTACCCTAATCGTAAACTTGATGTTCACATTTTTTTGCCGGGAACTCATCACCACTGATTTCCGGTCAAGCTTCACTGCATCCTGATCCATCCAACATACCGGAAACCTTACTTTTTTTAAATAGTTGGCTGAAGAATGACAAATATAATAAATGCGAGAATTTCAATCGAAATGTGTTGGCAAGATCTTCTGAAGGCATAAATTTTGCTACTGAAGCGTCACCAAAGATCTTGCAATATTCATCCACTCTCTGCATAGTGGATTAGGAGGAAAGTCAACAATTGAATGGCGAACTACAAGTACACGAGTGATTTCCCACATTCCACGAGTTTATTAGGTGTATTACATCCCCTAATACACCATCCGTTTGATAACTTGACGTATAATATTCAACGAACAACGTAAGTCTTAAGCCCCTTTCACATAGGACAGGACAGTTAGTACTGCCAGCGTCCAACAGTATTTATCACCGAACCTTAGCGGACAAACGAAATGTGCACTGCTGTTCACACATGACAGCATTTACCGCGGCGTAGACTTTGATGCCTGACGCCCGCGCGTCGTGCTAACTGCTGTCTGCTAAAACTGCGGCGGTAGATTTGCCGTGACAGTTTAGCTTGCAATGGCATTCAATGTAATCTTTCACACTGGGCGGTTTTTATGCCACATCTTAGTTAGTGTGTTACTGTTACAGTTACAGACAGTGGGGCCATATTTTAGGCACATAATAAACAGCACTGCATCACTGTCTGCATGACATATATACTGATATTATTACATAAATATTGGTACATGAATATCGTTACATCAATACTGTTAAACAAAGATATACATTGATAAATATACGTTTCAAAAAAGTGATAGAGATATATTTCATAAAAGATATAGATATTTTCCATAAAATATATAGGTAGGCCTATTTCCATAGAATTGTATTTACATTATTCTCACATAGAGATATATTTCGAAATAGAAATATTGTTAGGTACATAAACATAGAGATGGAATGATGGTGCATAAAACAGCACTGCAAGACATAGATTCCAGCGGTAAAAACCGCCTCGTGTGAAAGATTGCGCGGTAAATACTGCCCCGGCATTTTTGCGCGCGCGGTACTTGCCGCCCTGTGTGAAAGCTGCTTTACGGTAGACTAGATATATAACATTGTGCAGCTGCTCAACTGAATAGGTACCTACTGATAATACCGTTAAACTAAAATGAAATTGGCCCACCAACCTAACTTCCACAACTTCACAAATTCTCTTCTCAATCCTCATTTTCCACCTAAATGCATTAATTAATGATTATATCTACTAGATTTGAACAAATACAGCGTTTTTAATGAACAATTTCAATGATTATTGAAATCTGAGCTACACGACCGACGACCCAATAACGATTCTCCTTATTCTCACTCTCAGCGTGCGCCGCAGTAATCAAGCCTTCAAGGACATCAATGTATTTACGAGCGTAATTTCTCACCTCACTGCATTCAACTTCTTAAGTCAGGAAAACAAAAGCTGTCTACAATGACGACTACACCGAAAATGGTGCTGTGCATCGATTAAACTTCGTTGCCATCTGAGAAGAAGCGCCTTCCGCTAAGTTGCAGGAAAATTATAAAAATTAACTTTTGCTTGTTTTAATTTGATGTGTGTTTTAAACTCGCATAAAAATGCGCATAAAATAATGGGTAATCATTGGTTAAAAAAGAACAGGTTACGTAAATTTGAAAATATTTTTAGGTCACTTGAATAAAGCAACAATGACAGCAATTCACCATGAGATGTAAATTTTTGATCAACAATTTACGAAAAATTTCCATCATAACACCTGAGCTTCAAGCACCATTTGATGCGATTTATTTTGATTATCAAAGAGGAAATTTTGACTAATTGACTATCTACATTAGAATTAAAAATCGACATAAATTTTAATACGTAACGCAACATCCTCTCCAAATATTACGTTACACTCTCACTTACAATCACATTTGCTCTCTTCGACAAACCTATCAATGAAATCCACTCACCTAGTCACCCTAGGCCGTCACACGGCCACCTCTCGGACAAAAACGCGGCCTGTCTCACGGCCGTGCCTCACATGGAATATCTTCCAGAAATCTATATACCAAGTTTCACTGAAATCGGTTCAGTAGTTTGGAAGCTATTCCATGTACGATGAATTTCTTGAGGCACGGCCGTGAGACAGGCCGCGTTTTTGTCCGAGAGGTGTCACAAGATAGGTGGGCAGCTTGTCTTCGCAGATTTTTTTTTATCATAATCAAGTTAATAATGACGGGTTGTATGATGATTTATTCCAACTTATACTCAGGCCACAATATATTGAATATTTAGGCATTTTCTTTATAAACAAAACTAATTTGAATTAATAATTATAATAGTAAATGAACATAAATCATCTAGGGGCTCAGGAATATTCTAGAGGGGCTTAAGCCCCCATAAAATATTGTAAAAGCCCCCTAAATAATTTTTTGTTCATTTTTTTACAAGAAATACCGACAAATACGCTACAATTTGGCCTGAATAGGTTATTATTCCTATTAGCGAGCAGTACTCCTTGTATATGTTGTACTAAAATAAAGATGTTGTTAGGCGTAAGTGAAATTGACAGTTCACTCAAATCCTATTCATCAGCTGGGGGCTTAGCTTCCGTTGCCATCAAAAACTTAATGACTTTCTTATCAAAAACTTTCTGTTCTTAAAATCACCTCCTTCATAACCTGTTCTATATTTCACTCGCTTCACATTCCAATATCAGATCATGTGCTCAACACTTTCATTCACGCCGCAATCGCCGTGCCTTCGATGTGGGTAAGTATTCGTAAGCGAGTGGTAAAGTCCAAGGTTGGAGCAATGAGGAGCGGGTTTGAAACTCTATGCTTGGTGTAAAAATTCCGAGGTGAACAAGCACAGCAAGATTTGATCGGCGAGTTTCGTTTCAAGAAACTTGCACTACTTACACTTCTGTGTGTAGTATGGGCGACAGGCCAGGTAAGGCCAAATTCTCAACGCTGACACCACTTTTTTTATAACACATGGAGCAATGGCGACAGATCAAATCGGCCTATTCTTCAAAGCCGATATGGCTATGTTGATAATCCTCTTTCACTTGATTGGCCTTGTGCATACGCCCATTCACACACAGCGACCCAGCCTTCAAATCGAAGTCGGTACACACCTCTGCATTGCACAGCCCCTAAACGGTAATGTTACCTAGGAACTCTATTCTAGTAAACACGCATTTTATTCATCACAATAACCATAAAAATGTATCGCAAACTTGTACGGTGATAAAAAAACCCTTTATATAAGCAAATAATTTATGTGAGTGAATCTCATAAAAAGAAACTAAATCAAAGTATAGTTTATTTAGCACCGATTAAGCAACGGCCTCACAGAGCTGACAGATTCTCGACCGAAAGAATGATAAGTATGCTTCACCGCTTGAGTTTCGCCACGAAAATCTTGCAAACAATACACTGTGATCAATTACTAAGTGTCAGTGTGCGTACATTTCAATATAGGGATGAAATAAAAATTAAAAAACAACCAAGAGAATAACAGCGAAACAAAAAAACATAATTCAGGCATACTAGTAACAAAACAAAGACGCGTTTATTGATTCTGTAAACATCTACAGAGGCACAAATACGGTCACGCCAATACGTTCATTTCACGACCGTATAAAAACCTAATAAAAAGTACTATTGCACATAAAAATTGATAATAAGGCACAAAAATGTCAGGCGACTTGATTCGTACGTCACCACCCATGCTGTCAGTAGTATCCTTCACGTCACCTTCCGTGACGTCATTGTAGTAAGTCTCTGTATAAGCTCTTCAAGTTTACCACCAGTCAGTCACAGACCAACACCTCTTAGCTGCAGTCCATCTCAGCCTAACCTTAAACGCATCCACCACGTCTATCGGCTCCGGCACCCGCTTGTCCTACTAGCGTTTGTGTCGTTAACTCCACCTTCTCAACTACTCTTATAATACCTCATCGTGCCTCATCCTGTAATCCCATATATAATAATTAATAATATAATGTTGCCACTCTCTCATCATCCTGCTATAGCTTATGGAAAACAAATAGAACCTATCTAAACTCAGATATAAATCTTATATTTCATCTAATAATAAATTAATCAACGAATGTCAAAGAAAAGACATGAGCCCGAATAATTCGAATAAATCAATCAGTTGACACAAACAATAAAAATTCTATGAACAAAATCTTATAGAGACCCTCAACACCAAATATGTACAAGAAAATAACTGTGACGTCTCACAGCTCTTTAGTAAAGTCTTTGCAACAGCAGACACTTAATTTGAATAAATAAAAATTTTTGGCTTTATCACATTAGGTTAATACATGTGAGGTATAGAGAACATATTTATCAATATTTAGTGCTTCTTTTGATAACCATTATACAAGTTTAATAGAATCAGGGAAGCGAAGAATCAAAAGACAACCCACAGAAAACGAATATGTTAACTAATTGAAAGTAAGCCTTAACTTGCCACGAGGGAAAATTCTCTCTTCTTTTGCCTATAAAAGGAGTTACATTTTAATTATTCGAAGTTCGAAGGCAAGTGCCAAAGACGCAGAACTCAATGCGGAATCCAGTAGGTTCCCTCCATATAAATTTTTCATCTTATTGTTTTAATCGTTTAAGAAGATTAAGCAAAGATACAAGATATATTCTTGTGTTAGGTGCTCAAACACAGCAATTTCCTTACTGACAGGAATCATACCGTTATTATAATAAGGTGGAGAGTGAATGTAGAGACGACAAACTAGCCTAATGATGGACTATCTCATAGATGACGAATGAGATTGACTAATTGGCACATTGACAGCAGCGGCAAAGAAATTTTCCTATGTGGCATGTTAAAGGCGAGCCGTATGACAGAAATTGTTCCTCAAAATCTTGCTCACGATGCTGGCATCATCGTCACTCTTGCCGCCATTACCAATGTTGTTGTGAGGGATCTTGTCTTGTGCGAGGAAGCTCGCGATATGCGGCGACACTCGCTCCGGTGCTACCAGATGAACGTGGTGGCTGCCATCCACCTCGCAGAGAATAAACTCGCTGCAGCTTTGTCTGAAGATAGCGATTTAATTCAGTTAAATGAATTGAAAATAAAATGTAATATACTATATTATTTTAGGAATAGTCAAATGTACGTATTATGATACCCGAGCGATAGCGATTTGAGTGATGCCATCACAGAGCAACGGAGGTGTTTTAAACCCAGAAGTATAATAATAATATCTCTAGTCTCTGCAACAAACGCACATGCCAAAATGCTTCTAGGAGAAGCCTCATGAGTAGAATTTTATATTTCTAACAACAGCTGTAACAGTTTAATAGAATATACAAAAAGATTATTCAATTTTCAAATAAATCACAACGTAGCATGGCACAACATAACTACACGTGCGCATTATGATGTCATTGACCAAAATTATAAATAGTAGTAGTAGTAGGGAGAGGTTTCTAGCGCTTCAGATCAATCAAAAATTATAAGGGAACAGTGGACGCACTTGTACTGTTATTATAAGGGAACAGTGGACGCACTTGTACTGTTATTATAAGGGAACAGTGGACGCACTTGTACCTGTCTCTTATACACATCTAGATGTGTATAAGAGACAGGGCCTCACCTATGGCCATGGCGAGGTCAGCCCTCACCCATGGCGAGGTCAGCTCTCACCCATGGCGAGGTCAGCCCTCACCCATGGCGAGGTCAGGCCTCACCCATGGCGAGGTCAGCCCTCACCTATGGCGAGGTCAGCCCTCACCTATGGCGAGGTCAGCCCTCACCTATGGCGAGGTCAGCCCTCACCTACGGCGAGGTCAGCCCTCACCCATGGCGAGGTCAGGCCTCACCCATGGCGAGGTCAGGCCTCACCCATGGCGAGGTCAGCCCTCACCCATGGCGAGGTCAGGCCTCACCCATGGCGAGGTCAGGCCTCACCCATGGCGAGGTCAGCCCTCACCTATGGCGAGGTCAGGCCTCACCTACGGACATCTCGTGGCTCTTCATGGCTCGCTGCAGCAGCTCCTCGTGCGTGTACGACGGCTTGGGGCCGCTCAGCTTGCGCTCGATCTGAGCGACGGCGTCGAGGGCGGCCGCCGTCCTGGCGGGCAGCTTGGCAGGCTCCACATGTATGGGCTTGAGGGCGTCTAGGAGCACCAGAGAGTGCACGAGAGAAGGACGAGCGCCTGCGTACAGCATGCCAGCTGCCCCGCCCATGCTGTGGCCCATGATCACCACCTGACGGCAGCAGCGTGACTCAATTTTGTCGATAATTTTAAGGGCTATCCGAGATCCGAGATAAAATATGGTGATCTCAAGATCCGAGATAATAATTTTGATATCCAAGACCGCGGTTTCAAAATTAAAGATCACCTTCTTCAAATAGGAAATCATTGCCACAAGAATAGTGACAGCGGCCTGAACATTCAAGATCGCAATCTCACACCTGTAAGGATTTTTGAATTGAACAAATTCACAATCTCTATAAGTAAATCCCTACTAAGCTAGAGCCCTAATCACGCAACATGACCGCCGTCATCTCACCTGGCTCCAGCCGAAGTGCTGCACGAGCTGGTCGATGCTGACGAGGTACTCGACGAAGCTGTCCGAGACGCCGCGCGGTCTGTGCGAGGAATACCCGTGGCCGGGGAAGTCGGCTGCGACGAGGCAGAGGTGGCGGGGCAGCAGCGGCGCCAGGTGGTCGAAAGTGCCAGCGTTGTCCTGCCAGCCGTGCAGGCACAGTACTGCACATGGGGCACCGGCACGCCACACCTTGCCTGTACACAGAGATGTATTGTCAGTGTAGTTGAGGTTATACACACAGTAGAGGACAGTGAGGTGCTCTTCAGGTGCTGAGCTATCGCAATGACGTCGTATGCGCGGCTCTTGTATTTTTTATATATAAACATGGATATCAACAAACCCCTGTTCATTTCAACCTAACTGCGTGTATCAACAAATCATTTTTATTTGATGACAACCATCCTAAGCCCTCAATGTAGTGAGTGTGGCTCTGATATGTGACCGCGATGCAGAGGTGTCATTCTGAGTCGCGGTGAGTCTATCGGCCTCTTTTTGTGTAGGCCTCTTACCGCAATACATGTGCGTGTCTTCGGCCTCTTCTTGTGTTGGCCTCTTACCGCAATACATGTGCGTGTCTTCGGCCCATCTCCAGTACCTCGTAGAGCCGTATAATGTGTAACAAAAAACCTTGCTCTATGTAATGCTCACTACACCAAAATCACGATACAGTGATTTTCACTAAAATAAGTGATACCATTCACAGATCAATCAAAAACTTATGAAGCCCGTGCGTTTACTTTTCTTGTGTCATGGTGCTAGTCTGTAGCTGATAGATTTATGATCTGGCAGCGCAGACAAGTGGCTCTGACAGTATATCGTAGCTCACGTGCGCAGTATTTTTACGCTTGATACAAACACAAAACATACAAAGTAATTGTGGGATCTCTTATAAATTAGAAAGTGTAGACGTATTGTACAGTCCAACTCGTATTGTACAGTCCAACTATGTACAACATCATTACATTTCACAAGCAGTCATGAAGCTGAACACAGCCCAGGAATCAGCTGCAACTTACCCGCGATGTGACCGTAGGGAACAGCCACTTGGAACTCCACAGGCTCTTCGTCCACCATGTTGGAAGACCAGCGAACTCTGCCTAGAGTTGTGGTGTATTTGAAGGGATGTTTTTGGAAGTGTTGCGGTGAACACACACGCGAAATGCGGCGTGTGGGCCGCACAAAGTTGAGCACAGCGTTAATTTTCGCGAATTAATCTAACTCGGAAATAATTTATAATTAATTAATCTAAAATAATCTAACTCGGAAAAGTGAGAGAGCTGTGAACGTTGTTAATTGAGAGCCACTCTCACGGTGTACAGATATTAAGCAAACAACAATTTGGCAAAGAACTTTAACTAAATTTTTCCTGATGAGACATGTCAATAAAAAAATACTTAGTATCCTCATTCATTCCAAGCATTCTGTTTTGGTAACATAAATAAATTGCATTTTAGTTAAAAGAATTAAAAAATTACTTTTATTAGTTAAAAGCTCTGCAATTGTTAATGCTGAGAATCTAGAGCTAATTTGCAAACCTAAATCAGATTTAGGAATGAAGCTAAAGGCAAGAAGAAAAAAACCTTTGCTTTTGATACAGGTATATGTGTTGTTATTATAGCTGGTACCTGTAAAAAATATACAACCTGGTGTAAAAATTATTCATGTACAATATTCATGAAAATATTATTCATGAATTATTACATTACGTATTATACATGTACAATAAAACCCACCTTACAAACTTTATTTTTGCAGAAACTCTGTCCCTAACATACCTAGTTCATTTCTACAGCAAACATATCTTTACATAAATGCATCTTTCTGACCCAAGATTGTAGAGATTGTGCCTTATTTTGGCCATACTCCTTGGCCAAGCAATCAACCTACATGCTAGCCACACATTTCTTAGTGATGTACCTTGTACAATTCAACATTGATAGACACTTTGTTGCCAATCCACTGTTTTTTTTTTGCAGTAGCTTACTGTCCATGGTCAAAATTTTTTGTGAATTTTGTTGCACAAAACAGTTAATGAATGGGACAGATTCCCACACACTAGTCACATCTTACTGACTATGATTCTATACTAAATCAAGATTAGAATTTGTTATTAAAAAGTCTTGCAGCTACAAAGTGACAAATTTTTCAATAAAATTGGAATTTCATAGCCTTATCAGGAACTTTTGTTCAACAATTAGATAGTAGGTATAGTTAGATATAATTCATACAGAGACCCCCGACATACATGCAGCCCCCATTATTAGTAATTATCAGCATCATACAATACAACACACCGCCATACAATACACATAAAAACACACACCAACAGAATATAACTATGTAATAACAACATTCTAATACATTCTAATAATAAATTCCTTTACCTATCTCAAAATAACCCACCTATATTTTCAGTTAATTTCAATCTCAATGCACAAACTTCAAAAATTCAATACTACCTATACAACAGCAACACTGGCCAAGTACTCAAAAAACATACACACCTTTACACAAAAAAACACAAACAACAATGCACTCCCATCTGTATAAACAATAACCATATACACAAACCTTACTGTAAGCTTAACGTACCTTACTTAAATGTAACTGATGATGGAGCTGGACTCCAAAATGTTTTCTCTTATAAGAAATGGTGAACTTTTTGGCTATTTTCTTTACTTTTAAATTCCTGGTAAATTTGCGACTTAAGCAACCAAGTGATTTTAATACTAAATCTAACCCAACCTAACCTGCCAAGCCTACACTAACCTACCTTAGCATACCATCAAACAGGGTAATAAGGGATGATTTTGAGGGTTTTTTGTTAATAACTTCTTACCATGAAACATTTCATAAACGAGTTTCAGCTCATTTTAAAGCTCTTTGCAAAGGCTATTGTATGGCATCTCTGAAAAATTCCATATGCTATTTGTAAGATGCCAGAAGCAAAATAAAAGCATCCCTAAATACCCCTGGAATGGGGTAATCTGGGACACTTGAAATAAAACTTAATTTTAAAACATTTGAAGCATGAAGAGTGTTCCATCAAATGGGTAAAAGGGATGGGCAGGGTAATAAGGGACAGTCCTCTAACATTTTGTAGAAATGTTGTAGCAGCTAAACTAATTAAAATATTGCAAAACTAAAAACAGTGGTGTAAAGTTAATCATTTTTACTATCTATGCAGCATAAAGCAAGTTGAGAAATCATACATTTATTACCTCTAAAAATTCCTGAAAAAAAGTGTGAAAGTGAGATTTTTGAAAAGTACCTCTGCTAAGGTCTGTAGCAGAAAAAATATTTGTCATATTGAAAAATTTTACTTACATAAAAGTTGCACACTAGTGTTGGCTTAAAAACATGATTGACAGAATTTGCATATCTCATTCCAAGAAAAAATGGTGGCCATTTCTGCAAAACGGGGTAATAAGGGACACCCCCCTCCCCCCGAGGTTAATAAGGGACACCCCTAAAATTGCATTTACAGTAGAACCTTGGTTACCAAAGGCTCCAGTTAATGAAAAAAATCAATTAATAACAAAGAATTTTGAGTACTACATTTACCTCGCTCGGTGAAAAAAAAATTCACTTAATAAAAAATTACTGCATCAGTCATCACAAAATTGTGCATAGAATGTCACAGATAGAATTGAGCACTGGGCAACAAAGAATGAAAAGTAATTAACCTAAACTATGATTTATTTCTCCAAAAAATATGATAGTTTTCACTAAAATATTCTTTCCTGTTTCAGACATGTTTTTTAAAATCTTTTTTGTTATAGTGAAATCATTTGACTTGATTAAGATTGTGCAAAATTACAAACCAACCCGTAAGCTTACAGATACAGAAGAAATGCTACATGGCTGCTGATATGAAGCTTGCAGTGGACAAGGTCGTTGTCAATGCTCAATGGCATGTCCATAGATACAGAAATATCACATTAAGAATACAGTAATGTATGGATAAGGTAATATTATATCAATGAAGAAAAACCATGTAAAAATCACAGAAAATTTCATTTATTCTACATTTACATCATATACAAAGGAAGAGGAGGACTTCAGTTAGTAATAGATGAGTACACTCTGCATGCTTCAAATGTTTAAAATTAAGTTTTATTTCAAGTGTCCCTTTTTACCCCATTTCCAGATTAATTCAGGAGCCTTTTACATTGCGTCTAGCACCTTACAAATATCATATGGAATTTTTTTGGAGATGCCATACAATAGCCCTTGCAAAGATCTTTAAAATGAGCCCAAACTTGTTTATGAAATGTTTCATGGTAAGAAGTTATTAACAAAAAACGCTCAAAACCGTCCCTTTTTACCCCTTTTGACGGTACTTATCCATTACTAACAGTACTCTGAAGTCCTCTTCCTTTACAGATGTAGAATAAATGACATTTTCTGTGATTTCTATCAATTTTTCCTTTGTTGAGATGATATTCATTCAATATTGATAATTACCATAAAATGGGGTAACTTTGACCACTTTTTTTTCAAAATGATGCCATTTTTTTAATAGATAAGTTAAACTTAAATTGAAACATGTAAAATACAGGTCTATACTCTAGCTTTACTCACCATAAATTGCTGGCTCCTGCCTCTCATAGTTTTGATGTAATTTCAAAAAAAGTTATGGTCTTTGTTACCCCAGCTCTTGGGGTTTCTTTGACCGGGTGGTAAAATCAATTTTATTTTTTGGTAAAATAACTCCAGGTTATGGTGCATTGTAGTAGAACTCTTCTAGCTACATATGCAAAAGACAAATTTTAGGAAAGTGTCATAGTTTGCAAATGGGGGGCACCGCCCCCAAATGGGCGAAATGTGACCATCTAATGGCAGCCGTGATGGGGTAACATTGACCGTTTCGTAAATTAAGTTAAAATTACCATATATAAGACTCTGTAGAGTCTGAAACATAAAGAAAAAAACATCAATAGGTGCATCAAACATAAAATATGTTATATAGGTGCCTATGGTAATTGTAACTTAATTTCCAAGCCGGTCAATGTTACCCCGTCACGGCTGCCATTAGGTGGTCAAAGTTACCCCATTGGGGGGTGGTGCCCCCCATTTGCAAACTATGACACTTTCCTAAAATTTGTCTTTTGCTTATGTAACTAGAAGAGTTCTACTACAATGCATCAAAACCTGGAGTTATTTTACCAAAAAATAAAAAAATTGGAGGGGGTACTCTGACAGGCTTTAAATAATAGCTCTTTTATGTGGGTCACATTTTTAATTTTTTAACCTATTAGATATGCAAACTTTTTAAATCTTTCTATTGTGTTCCGTAGCCTCAGTATTAGGCTTTTGATGGCCATTGACAAAATTTTTCTATGTCGAATCGTTTTTGAGTTTTGGGGGTTTTTGTTAAAAAAACGAAAAGTGGTCAAAGTTACCCCACCGGTCAAAGTAACCCCATTTTATGGTATTCATTCATTACCATATTATTGATGTGATATTACCATATCCATGGACATGCCATTGAGCATTTATAACGACCCTGTCCGCTGCAAGCTACATGTCAGCAGCCATATAACATTTCTTCTGTATCTGTAAGCTTACAGGATGGCTTGTAATTTCACACCATTTCAATTGGGTAAAGTGAATTTTTCACTATAACAAAAAAAAAAAGATCCTAAAAAACATACCTGAAATTGATAGGAATATTTTAGAGACTACAATCATAATTTTTGAAGAAATAAATCGTAGTTAGGTTAATTACTTTTCATTCTATTAACCCAGTGCACAATTCTATCTATGACATTCTATGCACAAGTTTGCGATTGCCAATGTTGCATTAATTTTTTGTTAAGTAAAATACGTATTTTTCTTTGAGCAAGGAAAACGTAATAGAAAATTTTTAATTGTTAATTTGTTTTTATGTTACCTGGAGCCTTTGCTAATCACGATTCTACTGTAAATGTGTTTTTAGGGGTGTCCCTTATTACCCTATCTTGCTGAAATGGCCACCATTTTTTTTGGAATGAGATAAGCAAATTCCATCTATCACGTTTTTAAGGCAACACCTATGTTCAACTTTTATGTATGCAAAATTTTTTATTACAGCAAATACTTTTTTGCTTCAGGCCTTAGCATAGGTACTCTTCCACAATCTTGCTTTTTACACTTTTTTCAGGGATTTTTTAGAGGTAGTAAATGTCTGATTTCTTAACTTGCTTTACCCTACATAGATAGGAAAAGTGTTGAACTTTACGCCACTATTTTTAGTTCTGCAATATTTCAATTAATTAAGTTGCTACAACAGCTCTATGAAAAGTCAGAGGACTGTAATGATTTACCCAGCTTGTCTCTTATTACCCCATTTGATGGTAGGTGTTGTCCTTCAAGCTCCAAGGACAAGACAAAGACAGGCATCTTGCAAGACTTCCAGCTGCTTCAACTGGGCTGAAACTGTTTCATACAGAACACTACAATAATTTATTTTGGCTCTAATGCAGGCACAGTAGAATAGGTGCAAGAAATGGGAACTTGAACCCCAGTTTGGAGAGGTCATTTGTTTCAGCAATCCATGTTGTATCACATCTACACTCAGAGAAGTAAAGTGAGGGACACATTAGAGCATGGGGCATCAGGCATCACTCCAAGCAGCTTGTGCTG